ACGTTGGAATGACCAGTTCTGAATTGAGTTAGACCATCATGAGCTGGATGGAATACCAGGATAAAGTTGAGTTCCAGCCTAAGAGTCTTAGGGTCTATTGCTGTGAAGAGACACCATGGCCACGACGATTCTTTTTGTTGTTGTTTTGTTGTTTCAAGACAGTTTCTCTATAGATTTGGAACCTGTCCTGGAAATCTCTTTGTAGACCAGGCTGGCCTCAAACTCACAGAAATCTGCCTGCTTCTGCCTCCAGAGTTCTGGGATTAAAGTTGGGAGCCACCACTGCCCAGCCCTGACCACAGCGATTCTTATAAAGGAAAACATTTAATTGGGATGGCTTATAGTTCAGAGGTTCAGTCCATTATTGTCATGGCAGGAAGCATGGTGGTATACAGGCAGAAATAGTGCTAGAGAAATAGCTGGGAGTTCTATATCTGGAATGACAGGCAACAGAAGAAAGAGACACTGGGCCTAGTTTGAGCATTTGAAACCCCAAAGCCCACCCCCAGTGACATACTTCCTCTTACAAGGCCACACCTCCTAATAGTGCCACTCCCTCGTGACCTAGCATTCACATTTCTGAGCCGATGGGACCATTTCTATTCAAACCACCGCAACAAGGAAAGAGGCTCATAGTAGTTAGGTAAGTATGGCCATGAACCCTTGGTGAGGATAGCCTCTGCTGTTAGAGCAAAAGAGTCCCTTTGACAAGCACAAGGAACTTGACAAATCTAGTTTCTTATTGCAGTATCTTTGGTGCAGGCTCCTGATACTCCCATTTTACAAGGTTGAGCATGTTCTCAGACTTGTCTCTGGCCTGTGTTTAGAGTGGCACTCTCAGCTTTCCAGCTTCTTGCACAGAGCATAATGAACATAGCAGGACACAGGTCAATCAGTCCTGGATGCAGAGTAAAGACATTTAGCAGCTCTTCTCAGCTAGCAGCCTGCAGGAGCAAGCTATTTTACATGGGTATCACAGCATAAATAAGGTTTTCAGTTAGTTGCACCCTTACCCCATCCTCTACCTCTCCACTTTCATTCCCCCTAAAAGTCAGAAGCAGTAGGACAAAGAGTTAGTTGTCCTGAGTGGAACAGGTCTCAGTACAGACAGGACAAGGTTTTGGAGTAATGTAGAACACTGTACCATAAAGAAAGAATTGAGGGATTGGTGAAATGACTCGTCAGGTAAAGGCTTCTGGCATGAAGCCTAAGTTGTGATGAAAAGAGAAAACCCACTTCTGACCTCCATAGGTACACACACGCTAAACAAATAAACAAGCATGATTTAAAATTATTGTTATTATTAATTGGTAGAGCAGGAGGAGGGAAGAGAGGGTGAACTGGGATTAGTATGTGAAAAAGAGAAATAAAAGCTTTACTAACCCAAAAAAAGTCCCCCAAAATAAAATTATTGTTGTTATTATTTCTGGTTTTTGAAGCAAGGTGTCTCTTTGTAATAGTCCTGGCTATCTTGGAACTCACTTTGTAGATCAGGCTGGCCTCGAACTCACTGAGATCCACCTGCCTCTGCCTCTGGAGCGCTGGAACTATAGGCGTTCATCGCCACCACCCAGCTGAAATTATTTTTAAAAGATGTAATTAAGGAGGTTTGCTGGATGAATCCAGGTGGTGAGGGACTGGTGGTGTAATCCTGTATTTTGTAGTGGTGCAGGGCTGCCTTCTGCGCACAGGTACTGTAGACGCCACCATTCTTGAGCATCCCTGTTCTAGCCAGTCTCTGTGTGTCCCCACTCCCCACCAGCTTGCATGGTAGTTCCTGTGTTCAGTGCATTGTTTAGGCTACCACTTACAGCCTTAGCAGCTTCTTAGCCAGCTGCCTGCTCACATCCTCCTAGTATGTTCTGTGATGTTCCCTCAACCTGACACTTTAGTCTTTAGTCCTCTGCTAGAAAGCCTTTCTTTTCTTTTGCTCAGCCTACCCCTATCTTCCTGAGAATGCTATTCAGTGCCTCCCTTTTCTGGTTGGGATTAGACTGTGGGAATCTGGAGACTGAGACTGCATGTATGTCTCAGCTCCCCGTAGATACATGACTTGCTGTAGAGTTTTCATGTGGCCCCCGGGGTGTGAGGAGGAAGGATGGAGTGTGGGAGCTATCATAGTGCTGCTGGACCTCTCCTGGAATGGAGAGTCCAAATGTGAGGACAGTACAGTGTGGAAGGATCCATCTCTAGAGGTGAGGAGGGTGACGGTCCCAAAGAGTTCATTCTTGGGGTTGTGATACTGGCTCATGTTAACCAACCAGTAATTAGTGCTTCTCCTTCAGGTTCAACCGTTGGGCAGAGTGCTGGTCTCACCTCGGGAGACCAAACTTCCTAGAGCTCAGAGTCTGCACTCTTCTCTGAGTGTCATCACTTAGTGTGTTCTGCCCTGAGTTATTTATCTTTGGCTTCAAAAACAAACAACAAAACTGCTTATCTGTGAAGCGCTTTTGGAATTCTGCATTGAGAATAGGAGAACAAGTTGGAAACCAGGGATGCTGTTGGGATAAGGACTTTGCACAAAAGCTTGGTCAAGAGGAGGGGAGGGCAAAGTGTGTGAGAATGTCTCTCCTCCATACAGGAACAGCTACATCGACACGAGCTCTTGCAAGTCCCTGAAAAAGAAGGTGAACACATGAAGCTTTGGCACCACATGTGAATATTATGAGTCCTTTTATAGTTTCGCCTCCAGTCTGCAAATAATAGGCCCAGAAGTATGATAGATTTGACTGATGTCCCTCAGGATAGTTTAGTGGATTGAAGGCATTTACTGTGAAGCCTGATGACCTGATTTAGTCAGTCCCTGGTGTAAGGAGATAGGATGAGTATGGGGCTGCTGTGGTGTTCCTGAGTATCTTGCAAACCAGAGAGCCCAGATAGAAGGAGAGCAGTAAGTTCAATGTGGATGACTCTTCAGTTCTGCACATGAGGAGGTTGGAAGAAAGGCCAAAGAGTTCATTCTTAGGGACTCTGGGGTCATCACATGGTAGAAGGAGAAAACTGACTTGGATAAGCTCTCCTCTGATCTCTATAACATATGATGGCAAGAGTGTGCGCTCGCTCTCTCTCTCTCTCTCTCTCTCTCTCTCTCTCTCTCTCTCTCTCTCTCTCTCTCTCTCTCTCTCTCTCTCTCTCTCTCTCTCTCTCTCTCTCTCTCAAGTTATCTCTATCTGGACTGGGGTTTTACATATCTTTAATACCAGCACTTGGAAGGCAGAGGCAGGCGGATCTCTCTGAGTTGGAGGCCAGACTGGTCTACAGAGAGAGTTCCAGGTTAGATAGGTGAACACAGAGAAGCCCTGTCTGGGGTGGGGTAGTTAGCTCTGGGAGTGGGGAGAGAAAACCTAATGTGAAATAGGAATAACAACAAAACTTGTTTTGTTTTGTTTTTCTGAGACAGAGTTTCTCTGTGTAACAGTCCTGGCTATCCTGGAACTCACTCTGTAGACCAAGTTGTCCTCAAACTCACAGAGATCTGCCTGCCTCTGCCTCTGCCTCCCGAGCGCTGGGATTAAAGGTGTGTGCCACCACCACTTGCCAACAACAAAATCTTAAGTCACAAATGATACAGGTAAAGCATGGTGATATGTACTTGTAGTTCCAGGCACATGGAAGGCTAGGGCTACAGGAACACTTGAACCCAGTATTTTAGGGATATTCTGGGCCTGGGCAACATGCAAAACCCTTCTCTTAGAAGTGAGGTGGGGTGAAATGGAGGAGCAGCAACTAAGGCTAGGTGTGGTGGTGTATAGCTGTAATCTTTGGGCTCAGGACAAAGAGTCAAGATTCCAAGTTCAAGGTAGCTTCAGCTACATACAGGGGAGGGGGCAAAGAAGGAGGACTAATGGGTGAAATAGTTCAGTGGGTGAGAGTGCTTACTGCTGAGGGTGATGACTGAATGCAATTCCCTGGAGCCCACAGGTGGAAGAAGAGAACTGACTCACTGCTGTCCTCTGACCACCACATTACATACATGGGCACTCACACAAAGTTTTTTTTCTTTTTCAATTTTTTTGTTTGTTTTACTTTTTTAAGACAGGGTTTCTCTGTGTAGTCCTGGTTGTCTTCGAACTTGCTTTGTAGACCAGGCTGACCTCGAACTCACAGAGATCCATCTGCCTATGTCTCCCGAGTGCTGGGATTAAAGGCATGCATCACTACCACTGCCTGGCACACAATGTTTTTTGTTTTAAGAAATTTAAAAGGAGAAATATACAGATGACACACTTAATTTTGACTGTCATTGAAAAAATCTTGAAACAACAGTGAAGTGTCATTCCACATTTCTCTTAGTGTGATAATAAAAAATATTGGCAACTTTAAATGTGGATAACACCAAAGTAACAGGAATGGTCCTTCATTGCTGGAGGAGTGCAAATGGAACTTTGAAAGATGGTTGGGCAGGGTTAGGGTTTGAATTTGGAGGACCCTCTACTATAAATAGTAAAGCTACTCTTTAAAAAAAAAAAAAAGGCAGTCTATTTGTCCTAGTTGTTTCTACTGCTGTTATAAGGCTGTATGACTAAGGCAACTTCTAGAAGAAAAAGTTCATTAGGGTTTATAGATCCAGAGGGTGAGTCCATGATCATCATGAGAGCAAGGCTGTAGGCAGGTAATCAGGTGGGCATGGCATTGGTATTCAAAGCCCATCCCAGGTGACATGCCTTTTCCAACAAGGCCACACATCCCAATCTTTCTCCAACAGTTCCACAAACTTCAGACCAAGCATTCAAACAGCCTATGTGGCCTTCTCATTCAAACTACCATATTACTGAAAAATAATAAGGCTGTATGACATTGATTTCAAACCTTACAAAATTTACTGAACGCCTTATCTAGAGATACTGGCTGGTTGTTGTATTAACCTTTTGTGTGGTGGGGCGTCAGTCGATGTACCTTTGGGAATAATTAATGAGCAATTAAGGCAGCCCTGGCATGGCCATAAGTGTATGGAATATACAAATGTTTATTTTTATCTTCCCCCCCTTTTTTTCTTTTAGGACAACCCTCCATACGACAAGGGGGCCTTCAGAATTGAAATCAACTTCCCAGCAGAGTATCCATTCAAACCACCCAAGATCACATTTAAAACAAAGATCTACCACCCTAACATTGATGAGAAGGGGCAGGTCTGTCTGCCCGTAATTAGTGCTGAAAACTGGAAGCCAGCCACCAAGACTGACCAAGGTGAGCCTTTCTTCTTGCTGCCTTAGAGAGGGCTCTTTTTTGGGAATACTAGTTTGTGATGGATGCTTGAAGTTTCTCTCTAATACCCTATCAGACAGAGTAAGAAACACTACCTCAGCAACTCAAGTGCACATAAAGTAAGGACGGCTAAGACCCCAGCAGTCCTGTGCGGCTGCCTCGTCTCAGCTGAAGTGTTAGCTGTGCAGGGCACTGGCCCTGGGTGTGCTAAAGGGTTGATATTGCCTAGCTAGGGAAAGAGAGGGTGCTGCTGGATGCACACACAGTTAGCACTTGTAATCACTTCAAAGAAAGGTTAGTTAAAACTTTCCAGACTACCAGATGGGCTAAAGCCAAGTCCTGTAGCCCCCAGTAGGTGGTTTGGGGGTTCAAGACAAAGATGCATCTTGGGTAGCATCCCTGTGAACACACATCGTTGGCTGCAGTGTCTATAGTTCTTAGAGTGAGATGTGGCTAGATGTGTCCATGCTCATTTTTCTTAGAAAAGCATTTGATTCCATGTGTGTCATGATTATTCTCCTGCTTGTCCCTTTCTTGCAACTTCCAGGAGAGAGACTTTATTGATTTTGCCTAGTATTGTTCATATAGACTTTATGAAACAAGGTCTTGTCATAGCTTTCACATTGGCCTGGAACTCTCTTTGTAGTCCAGGTTGTACTCAGGATGCTTCTACCTGAACCTCCAGAGTGATTACAGTTATACACTGCCACGCCTGGTTCCAATTTTTATTAATTCCAGACTTGCTTTTGAGGTTCTAATTTTGGTGACTTTCTACTAAGTAACTGAAGCAATGTAACATTAGGTTAGATTATAGAGAGTGGATGGAGGTAGTTTTAGTAAGATTACAGGTGACTTTTCCTTTCTGGTGGAAGGAAGCCCTGGAAGATGGAGATGATCACATTTTGGCAATAATTCCCATGAAACCTGACTATCAGGTTCCAGCATTTGGAAGGAGCAGATGCTATATATATATGTCCAATCAAAGAGCATTTTCTAGCAGGACTCACCTTCAGCAGTACACAAAAGTATTGATGCTTTGGATAGGTTGATTGAATTCTCACCTCAGTGGCCTGATTATTTTCCTGTACAGACTCTTGGCTCTGTGTTGGAAACCTGATCTTCATTTATACAGCACCATCATGTCAGTCCTTGCAACTACCAGAGACTTTGCTGGGCTAAGTTGCTGCTCAGTCACCTTGCCTGAAGAGAAGTGCTTCTACACCAGGCCCTCTGGCACTGGTCAGTTTAGGGTCTCCTTCTTTACCTGAGAACTGATGGCATGAAGGTCAGGGCCAGGAGGCTCTCAGGCCTGGGTACAGATATTCCTAGTCTTATTGTCTGGCCTCAAATTCAGAGAGATCACCTGCCTCTGCCCCCCAAATGCTGGGATCAATCAATGGTGTGCACCACCACTGCCGTGCAGTTTAGGGTAATTTTCCTATTTTGTAAAATATGCTTATTGGTTATTAAGAATTTCATTTCAGCGGGCGTTGGTGGTGCACACCTTTAATCCCAGCATTCGGGAGGCAGATGCAGGCGGATCTCTGTGAGTTTGAGGCTAGCCTGGTCTACAAGAGTGAGTTCCAGGACAGCCTCCAAAGCAATACAGAGAAACCCTGTCTCGAAAAACAAAACAAAACCAAAAAAAAAAAAAACAAAAAAAAAAACCAAAATTTCATTTCAAGTATAGTGACAGAATTATTGTTTTTGTGATTTGGAATAGCTTGGGGTTTCTTCCTAGAAAACTAATTGCTTGTAGTCTTTGTAGCATGGCTTTGAGTCTGTCCTCTCACTCAACAATAGCACTTAATGCCATATTCTATTTTCCGTTACCCGTGGCTGTATTATAACTCCCATTGAAACAGTGGCTTGTGGCTGGAGAGATGCTTCACTGGAAGCTGTTCCAGAGGACCTGGGTTCAGTTCCCAGCACCCTTATGGTAGTTCTAGATCATCTGTAACTCCAGTTGCAGGGGATCTAATGTCCTCTTCTGACCACATGGTACATAGACATGCATGTATGTACAACTCTGGTACACATAAAAAGGAGGGGCTGGAGAGATGGCTCAACTAAAGATAAAATGAAACAGTGGCTTAAAGTAACAGTTTATTGCTCATTCTGTAGATTGGCTGTCTCAAACCGTGGTGGTCATTCTTGAGGATACTCACACCCTTGCTGGGGTTAAATTGTCCCATTTGGCATCATTCACATATGTGGCAGTTGGTGCTGGCTGGGCACTTAACTTTCTTTGTGTTGCTTATTCTCTATGAAGTGGGTTGGACCTTTTCATAGCAATGATGGAGCTCTAGGTTGAAAGCTGAAGCCAACAACCTACTTGAACTAAGTGTAGTGCTGGTGCTGTCATTGTGTCCCTTCTGGATCCTACTGGTCAAACAAGGACAGTCATGAGAAGGGGAAGTAGACTGAGTCTTAAAGGAGTTGAGGAAGGGTATTCAGGGTGAGAGAGGTGGAGACACAGTAGAGGAGGGACCACTGGCACCAAGTTCCCTTACTGTCTCTCCTCTCGCTCCCCTCCTCCCCCCCCCTCTTTCCTTCCTCCCCTCCCCCTTCCCTCTCTTCCCTTCCTCCCCTCCCCCTTCTCTCCCTCTCCCTCTTCTCTTCTTCCTTTGTAATGTGTATGTTTGTCTGAATGTATATCTGTGCTGAGGAGATTGGAAGATGGCGTCCAATCCCCTGGGACTGAAGTTAACAAATGCTTGTGAGGTGTCATTGTGAGCACTAAGGAGCGTGGGTCCTCTGGAGGGCCCTCTGTCCAGTCTCTCTACATACTTATGTATATGACACTGTTGTGGCCACATGGCAGATGCTGTTGTGTTCATTGCCTTTGTATTTCTGGTCCTATTTACTGACTTCTGACTGCTTTCTAGACACCATCAACCTATATATGTCATCTTTCTTTTTTGATGTCTTACAGTTCTGCTGTAGTTCTTGTTTGGTTTTTTTTTTTTTTTTTTTTTTGGGTTTTTCGAGATGGGGTTTCTCTGTGGCTTTGGATGCTGTCCTGGAACTCACTTTGTAGACCAGGCTGGCCTCCAACTCACAGAGATCCGCCTGCCTCTGCCTCCCGAGTGCTGGGATTAAAGGCGTGGGCCACCATCGCCCGGCGGTCTGCTGTAGTTCTAAAGTTGTGAAGTGAACTTGTTTTTTTTTTTTTTTTTTTTGAGAAGGTTTCTGTGGGTAACTTTGGAGCCTCTCCTGGCACTTGCTCTGTAGACCAGGCTGGCCTTGAACTCAGGGATCCGCCTGCCTCTGCCTCACGAGTGCTGGAATTAAATGTGTGCCACCACTGCCCGACTATGAACTTGTTTCTTAATGGCATTGAATTGTCATTTTTCTTCTGCCTGTGTCCTTAGGAGCTTTCCATCAATGACTCCTTTCAGATCTAGTTTCACATTCTTTGATCTTTTTAAAGTAACAGGCTCTAGCTCATGTCAGTCATCCACTATATGGCCTTTTGTGATCTCTAGACTTTGTTAGGGTTTTTCTGTTTTGAGCCTTAAGGTTGTTAGTGTTATCATTTTATGTGTATGGGTGTTTTACCTTATGTATATCTGTGTACCTTGTGCATGCCTGGTATCTAGGGGGTGTTGGATCCCCTGAAATTAGATCTCCTGACAGTTGTGAGCTGCCATGTGGGTTCTGGGAATGGAACCCAGATTTTCTAGTCCCTCAAAGTCATGTTTTATTAGATAGATATGGAAAAAAATGATATGGTTGGGGGATAGAGAGATGGCTCAACGCTGTGCTTTGATTCCCAGCATATATATATGGTGGCTAGCAACCATCTTTAAAGTTGTAAGAGATCCAGTGCCCTCTGTGACATCCATGAACACTGTATACACACAGTGCTCAGACATACATGTACTCATACACATAAAATAAAGATAAATCTTTTTTTAAAAGAAAAAACTTAAGACTTGTAAGTTAAAATGTCCTTAGTTCTTGAGTTCCATTCCCTGCAGTCACATTGAGTGGTTGACAGCCATCTGTTTCTCTGCAGCTCTAGGGATCTGATGCCCTCTTCTGGCCCCTGAGGTCACCTGCACAAATGTGTGCATTCTGACACTTAAAACACACACAAATTAAGCAATGGAAAAAAAGTGCTCCTGTGATCCAGCATGTCAACTCTTAGTTGTATGTGCCTCCCAAAAATGAAAGCATGGGAAAAACCGAAAGCATGGATCCACACAAACATCTTTTTAATTATATTCATGTGTTTATATATGTGTTCATGAGTGCATGTCACAGCATGTATATGGAGGTCAAGAGTAGAACTTGAGGAAGTCAGCTCCCTCCTTATCCATATGAATGCCAGGGATTAAGCTTGGAAGCAAGAGCTTTTATCTGCCAATCGAGTACCTCTCTGCCCTGAAACACTTGTATTAATGTTCGTTGTAGATTTGTCCATACTAGGCACAAAGGAGAAGCAATTCAAATAAATGGATGGATGGATGAGAGAGTATGTGTGTGTGTGTCTGTCTATTCTGCTTTCTATTGCTGGTACAAAGACATCTGACCAAAAGCAACTTGGGGAGGAAAGGGTTTTTTGGTTTTGTTTTTATTTTGATTTTTATTTTATTTTTTTATTTTTATTTTTTTCAAGTCAGAGTTTCTTTGGAGGCTGACCTGGAACTCGCTCAGTAGACCAAGCTGGCCTCAAACTCACAGAGAGCCACCACTGCCCTACTGGAAAGGGTTTATTTCAGCTTACAGCTCATAATCAATCCAAAATGAAGGGAAGTCAGAGCAGGAACCTGAAGCAGAAGTCAGGGGTGGTAGCTTACACCTTTAGTCCCAGCACTCTAGAGGCAGAAGCAGGTGAATTTCTGAGTTCCAAGACAGCCAGGCCTACACAGAGAAATAGTTTCAAAAAGTAAAAAGAATTGGAGTAGAGACCATGGAAGAGTACTGCTTACTGGCTTGCTCCTTATGGCATGTTCAGCTTGCTTTCTGAGAGATCCCAGCACGAGCTGCTCAGAAGTGGCCCAGCCCAGAGGGAGCTGCACACTCCCATATCACCCACCTGCCACCTACAGCTGTCTGCCATTAAACACCAGCCACTAATCAGGAAATGCTCTGCACACTTGCCTACAAGCTAGTCTGATGGAGGCATCTTCTCAGATGACCCTGGTCTGCGTGTCAAGTTGACACTAAATAAATAACTGGTATTTCTGTACAGTGACATACTGTGATAGCCACACAAAAATAATAAAGCATGCATTTATGGTAGAAGATATATAAACTTTTAAAATAGTATACTGTATGAAACCGTTACTTATAAACAAAGAGACAACATGGTAATGTGATCCTGTCTATAGTTTATGGATTCTGGCTATGTAGTCCAGGCTGGCCCCAAGCTAAGGATCTTCTTGTCATGTAGTGTTTTTGTTTTTCCTTTGAGGCAGGGTTTTTCTGTATCTTTGGGGCCTGTCCTAGAACTCGCCACTCTGTAAACCAGACTGACTTTGAACTCACAGAGATCCACCTGTCTCTGCCTCCTGAGTGCTGGGATTAAAGGCATGTGTCACCACCCAGCTGTTACATGCTTTTAAGTGATAATTTCAGCTGTGAAGCCACCACATCTAAAGATTATGAATTTGGGAATTTGTGTGCTTTGTGATTTCTCAGTCGATACAGCACTTTTTGTGGTAAATCTTATCTTCCTGCAGTTCCTCTAAGATGGGCTCATTGCTCACAGACAGGTACAGCTTCACAATATGCTTTTTTCTTTCTTGGGCTTAGAAGTGCCCTAACTGGCCGGGCGGTGGTGGTGCACGCCTTGAATCCCAGCACTCGGGAGGCAGAGGCGGGCGGATCTCTGTGAGTTCGAGGCCAGGCTGGACCTTGTCTCGTAAAACCAAAAAAAAAAAAAAAAAAAGAAGTGCCCTAACTGAGCACCAGACCAGAGTTGCGACCTACCACCCACAACTGCCTGCAGAGGTGACCCTATAGACAGATACATACAGATGTGGATGGCCCACTGTCTCCAGAGCACAGAAGAATGGGGTTGACAAGGGCCAGGAGGTCCAGATATTCTGGACTGTCCAGAAAATGATCTATACTAGCCATATTTTCAGTTTTGAATGAGTGAATTTATTAAGTATACAGCAAGCCAGAGTAAAAGAATAAATAGTGCTGGGTAGGAGGTACTTACTTTTAGTCCGAGAATTTGAGAGGCAGAAGCAGGGGGATCTCTCTGTACATTCAAGGCCAGCCTGGTTTATTTAGTGAGTTCCAGGTCAGCCACTGCTGCATAGTGAAACCCTGTCTGGAATCATCAGGGCATCTACATTAGGGCGAGATCCTTTTTTAAACATCTCTTTATTGACTCTTTGTGAAATTCATATCATACACCCCAATTCAACTCACTTCCCAGGTCCCCCTGTGTCCTCCCTTCACCCCTGCAGTGTCCCCCAAAACCTTCTTCACTTCTGTATCTTTCCTGCCTGCCTCTCCAGTGCATCTTCATTGGTCCTGGTGGGTTTGGGGGCAGTGTGGCACAGTACACCCTTTTGTCTAGTCAACTTTACTGTCAGATGTCAGAGCCATTGGTCTGGTCTGTCTTTAAAGGCAGCCAGTTGGCATCTGCAAGAGAGAGTCCCAGGCAAAACAGTCTCCTCAGGTGAGACTTCCAGATAAAAGAACAAGTAGCAGATAGAGAAAGCACCAAATCAGGTGCTTATAACAGAAGCTGTCGAGGAAGTGGAGATGTCAGCTGAGTTCCTAATTGAGCTTTCCATGGCTGAGTTTTACATCATGAGATAGACAGTAGTAACTTGTATTGGAAATTGTTCATCTACTAGCTGTTCTCAAGGGCACAGTATGTTTACTCTTAGGCTGTTTTGCTGTTCTTGTACCCTGTCATGAGTACTGTGGTATATCCTTAGATAGAAGACCTTGGAGAACACTTGACATGATTATGTTTGGTTCTGAAATTGGAGGAGCAGGCAACCCTTCTTCCAGAGCCAGCTCTCAGTTCAAAACAACATAGGACAGCTTACCAGTAAAATGTACATTCCACAATGGCTGGAAGACTTCTCTAAGGCTGGGGATCAGTCAGCTGTTTGCTCGCTGTCATGTGTCTCTCTCCTGATTGCAGAAGAGATGGGTTGAGTTCTGGTGGTCAGAATAAACAGAAGGCCGCTCTGTCTTTAACGCTCATGGGCATGGGATGTAGCCTTGCATTCAGAAAGCCCTGACTCGAGAACACCAGACAGAGTGGCACTGGGCTGTATCCCAACACTCAGCAAGGCCAGGAACCCGATCGAGGTCATTCTTTGATACAGATTGGAAAGAGCAAGCAACCAGCGTTTGAGTCTGTGCAGGGGTTGCAGTTTCTTTCCTGAAGTTTGCTATTTCTCAGTCTGTTTTAACCACAGTGCTTTGTCCTTCTTTTGGCAGTAATCCAGTCCCTCATAGCACTGGTGAACGACCCCCAGCCTGAGCACCCACTCCGAGCTGACCTAGCTGAAGAATACTCTAAGGACCGTAAAAAATTCTGTAAGAATGCTGAAGAGTTTACAAAGAAATATGGGGAAAAACGACCTGTGGACTAAAATCTGCCATGAGTGATTCCAGCAAGTTTGAGCAGAGCCCCCGAGCAGTGCATCCAAATACCCCGCAAAGCAGGACTCTGTGGAAAATTGACACGTGCCACCATCTGGCGTCCGCTTGTGGCAGTTACTAACTTTCTACAGTTTTCTTAATCAAAAGTGGTCTAGGTAACCTGTAAAGAAGGATTAAAAAATTCACATGTTCTAGTTTTGCTTGCTTTGTTTTAAAAATCACTGCTTTAGTCTACTCCAAAAGAATGGCATTTCTTCTCTTGCCCAGATTCACTCAGAGTTACAGTTAGCCCAGAAGACTTAAAAAAAGTTGTGGTTCCTGTTTTCTTTGCCCTCTGTCCTTTCACTTCCCACAGAAGCAGCAGCACTGGGAGCTCTTCTCCTGTGCCACACTGCCTGTGGTGATAGCTCAAGTCCTCCTCATGCCACCTTATTAGTGTCCTTTTAAGAAATTATAAAACAATACCAATACCCTCTCCCCTCCCCCCAAAATAGAATGTCCTTGCAAAGGGAAGCTGCTTTTACATACAATCTTAGCAAAGTGATTCCACAGTAACAGTCTTAAGGGGCAGACTCCATGCTCCGTACCCGTGGTCAGGCTGTGCCGGGACTTTGTAGAGAACCCTGCAATACCAGGTTTGTGTTGACCTTGGTGGGAGGGTCTGCCAGTAGACATCGCCGTGCATTTGTGTGATGAACCTCTCCGGTCAGCAGCTCTCCCTGCAGCTGTGGTGGATGACCTGGTTATCACAGGCAAAGCAAAAGCCAGAATATTCTTGAAAACTCAAGCTTCCTCCACCACTGAGCTCTGCTGAGGTGTGCCAAGGAGCCCCCACTCCTCTGCACAGCAGACCACCACTGTCTCCCTCCGCATGTTCTGCCCTTTGTGGGATCAGCATTGGTGGCTTCTGCTTTGTAACCAGCTGCCCCTTCCTCAGAGCAGCTGCTGTGCAGCCCAGGAACAGGATGGCCTTCCCTCCCTCTGGACTCCGCCTTCCCAGAGTCAAGCCCCACTGAAGCTCACTCAGTAATATCCTTTCAATGTGTTTTATATTGTTTTCATTGCCTTTTTTTTTGTAGAAATAAAATTTGACCTTAGAATTTATCATCAAATGAACTTTGTCAAGATTTGAATGTTAATATCTTTTCAAGACAAGTGACTGTCCTTGAAGCAGTAGTGACACCCAAGGAAGCTGTTGGCCTGATGGCTTTTGTTCACTAACTCACTTCTGCTCTTAGGGGTCTAGATCCTGTGGAGAAGATGGCCTCAAGAAATCTTGCTTTCTGCTTTAACCTTAGTTCTTTAACTTCAGGGCTACCTAGGGCTCACAGACTTGGAAAACAGCTCTGGGTTTCGCCTGTAAAGAAGTGAGACAGGTTCTCTCAGGCAGTGTAACACTATTTAGTTTTCCAAGGGTTTGGCTCCTGTGGTGCATAAATGAACTATGCTTTAGTTCTAGGTATGCATGGGGCAGGTTTCTGGAGACTTCATGTGCCCAGGATGGCCAGAGCACTGGGCCTATGTTTCTATGTCTGTCTCTTCATTGGCAGAAAAGTGACAATGGATTTTATTTCATTCACATTCAGATTTGTAATAAAATGCCACATTCTGTCAGAAGTTGTCCAAACAAACCACCATTTGTTCTTGTTGCCTTTCTGAATTTAGAGATAGTCCAACTGTCTCATTGCTTAGCTCTACCTGCCTGTTACCCCTCACTGCTCTCTGCTCACTATGGGAGGGTACTCTCACGCCAGCACCCCTCTCAGGGACTCTCAGCCCAGTATCGACAACCATGGCCTGCCCTGGAAGCAGAGGCCTGGCTTGGAGTCAGTGGTGTCCCTCTGGGCTTGCATGCCTTGCTCTTTCCAGCTCTGCCCTGGAGCAGGCTTTGAGCAAGCTGGCAGACAGCCCTGGCTGCTCCAAAGTGAAGAGCTGGCTCCTCTGGAGAGGAGGAGATCTGTGGAGCAGCCAGACAAGCACCCACCCCTGACACAAGTTGGCTCAGGAATTCACATCCCCCTGGTTCCTTGAAGTGCCCAGGTCTTGTCCTGCTCTTTCCACGATGGCAGAGAATAGGCTTTCTAAGATGCTGTGACCCCATTCTGTCCTTAATAAAAATGTTCTCAGACACTAGTTTGGGTGTATGGGTTTCTTCCTTTGGGGATGAACATTGCTGGGGGCCTATGTTCTTAGAGACTAGAGGGAGTAGTGTCTAGGCCTCTGCTCTCTTCTCCACTTGCTAGCCTCTAAAAGAGGCATCTAGGTGGGGCTGTTTTGCCTGGTAGAAGTAGATGGGGCAGTCAACACTGGGAAAGTCACTTCCATCCTTGTAGCCCCAAGAAAATGTGAACTGCATTCAGCAAAGGTGAGAACAAGTTAAGGGGCTTGTTTGATCAATGACTTGAACTGAAGAGTATGTATTATAATCATCTGGAAACTCACTGCAGGTTTTGTGGGACTACCCCCCTGGGGCATCCTTTTATTGGAGCATTGCTGGCTTGAACTCAATCCTTAGCCACTTATCCCTCCGCACCTTGTTTCCCTTCAAGTATTTAGTTCCTAAGTCCCATACACACTGAGTCCAGACTATTAAACTTCCACTCCTGTAGCTGAGGCCCATAGTCCCTTACTGCTGAACAAGCGGCTTATAAGCCATTCAGCTTTTGTCTGGCCTTTTACTTCCTCTTGCCCTAAGAGATGTGTCCCCACACACCTTTGCAGTCTAGTCTAGGGAGATGTCAGTTTGATTTTTCCTGCCCTGCCCACATCCTCTGTGAGCAAACAATGCTACCCTCAGACAGCATAGTGCAACATGGTGCCCAACCCAGGCCATGCCTAGGAAACCTCATTTCCTGGATGACTCGACAGCAGTCCTGGGAAAGCAGACAGTACAGACCACTTACCTGGGTCCACCTAAGGAAGCGGTCTCTAGAGAACCCCCTCGTCCTCCAGGGTGCTTTGCCATTTGTAGGCTGGGCAGTACGCCAGCAGAGCTTTTTCCTGAGCACTCCATACCTAGGAGCTGTCCCTAGAAACATGCCACCCCGTACTAGGCCGCCACCGGAGTATGTGCCCGCAGCACGGGAGTCAGCTGAGGTGAGTGGCACACAGCAGAGGATTCAAACTCAATATTCTGGATCAGGCAGGTTATTGAACCTGCCCAAGTCAAGGTCCAGAAAGGTTATAATAGACTGAAGCCAGTCAAGGGAGGAGGAGGAAGAGGAGGAGGAGCAGATCCCTTTAGAAAGCCACAATGTTGCTGGGCGGTGGTGGCGCACGCCTTTAATCCCAGCGCTCGGGAGGCAGAAACAGGCGGATCTCTGTGAGTTTGAGGCCAGCCTGGTCTACAGAGCGAGTTCCAGGACAGCCTCTAAAACAATACAGAGAAACACTGTCTCAGAAAAAAAAAAAAAAAAAAAAAAAGAAAGCCACAATGTCTTATCAGGCAGGCAAGAGCTTGCTTCCCTGATCCCCAGTTCCAGGATGGATGTAGGCCATGTCAGGTAAGTTCAAAGCACTGCTCTACCAGCCCTCACTTGTAAGTTTGTGGTGGATGCACAGGACATTAAGTTGATAGAAAGTTTACACAGCATGCACGAAACTCTGAGCTTAATTCTAAAAACCATGTAAACTGGGAGTGGTGATGCAGTTGTAATCCCAGTATTGGGAAGTGGAGGCAGGAATATCCGTTCAATGTCATCCTTGGCAATCTAATATCAAGACAGTCTAGTTGTTTTGCATAGCATGCATGTGTGAAACTATAGGCTCAATACCTAGAACCAAAAAAGGAGTCATGTGATTGATATTCCACCTGCCAAAGTGATGTAAGGCTGTGGGCCCCCCTTTCCCAGATATTCCCTGCCTGCAGAACATGCATATATATTAGATGTAGCTAGAATCCCAGTTTCTCGTTTCTGCAGAAGACTACCTGCCCTGGAAAAATGTAAACATGCCTACAAGCTTGCAGAGCCTCTTTCAGTCTGTTCTTTGAAGCGGCTTACATATAATATTCCTCCCCCTCTTTAAATGACTAAAATTACTTCTATAGTATGTGTGTGGGGTTGTGGCAGTCTGAGGGACGACTTTCGGAAGTTGGTTCTTTTCCTGCCACCAGTCCTAGGGATCAAACCCGAGAACTTTTACACACTGAGTCATCTTGTTGCCCCTCAGATAACCTCTTTTAAGCCAAAATGGAATCTAATGAGGATCTTTTGTTCCCCTCCCTTTAAAAAAAGAGGAATGTAAGCATTGCTGGGCACAGTGGTGCGTGCTTTTGGTCCCAGCAAGTGAGAGGAGGAGGATTCCTTGAGCCCTGGAGTCAAAGGCCAGTCTGAGCAACGTGTTAAGACCCCCATTTCGAAAACAAAATGTATATGAATCATGATATGCACATACCCCCCAACACAAGTGCATGCAAATTTTTTAACTAGAGGATTTAAAACATGTAAGCATGGGGACTGGAGAGAGAGCTCAGTGATTAAGAGCACTGACTATTATTCCAGAGGGCCTGGGTTCAATTCGCAGCACCCACATGGCAGCTAACAACTGTAACTCCAAGATCTGACAGCCTCACACAGATGTACATGCAGGCAAAACACCAATACAAATAAATAAAAATTAAATTAAAAAAATATTACACTGGTACATCTTTTTTTAAAAAAAGAAAACCATATGTAAGTATAAGCAAAATTAGAAACCGAAGATATTACTGCTTATCTTGGTCTGAGCCTCAAAGGAGTTCTCTATGCCCTATCTTATTTCTGAGAAGGATACCTAGACATTTTATAAACAAGCCAAATCTGCAAGACATTATTTTATTAACACACCAACCTCTCTCCACTGCTCCACTAAACAAAAGGTTGTAACTGCGACATGAATTGGCACCAAATGCTCATTCAACAGGCCTTAAATTCAGATGTCACCGACTCAGCCTCGAGGTCACCTGCCTGTCAGCCTCGAGGTCCGGTGAGGACCTGGGAACAGGGCTAGTGACTTGTCATTCTGGGAAGCCAGACCCCTGCTCCAAGGCCTGGTTCCAGGCTGGACCAGAGCTTTAACTCTGGCCTTCCTCCACAAGAGAGGCAGTTCGTAGCTGGCCTTTGGTGTCAGGGTGGGGAAGGCTCCAGGAAGGGCTCCAGAGCCGCCTCGCAGGGGACACCTTCCCCGGGCCTTTTGGAATTCAGGTCGTCTATGGCGCAGAGCTGCACACCATTCTGGGCCAGCCGAGCCCGGAGGGTGGGTGCCGTGAGGACGTGCAGCTCATGCAGCCGCTCCCAAGAACAAGAGAAAGCATCGGGGCCCTCACCGCAGCCCCCCGCTGGAGGCACACTGGGGTATCCCGGATGTGCCATCAGTTCAGCAGTCAGCGCGCGGTCAGCAGGGATATCTTCCAGGGCCCGTGCCAGTGATGCCAAGACTCGGTGAGCAGACATATGTCGACCACAAGTGCTCAGGCCCACAAAGGCATCGGTCCACCTGTGAGTGCCAGGGTATCAGAGGTGTTACCTGTGGGCCGGTAGGGCTAGGCAGAGGGTCAATCAGCAGGACGCAGGTCAATTCCTAACTTTTTTTGGCTGAGAAAAGGTCACATCTGGCCAAATGAACGCACTGGGACCATCGGGAACTCAGCAGGATTGGATAGGGGAGGGGAGGGCGGTGCTCACCGCAGACCGTGGCGGGAGAAGGGGCCCATGGCGGCCCGGGCGTCGCGCTCCACAGTGCAGGCAAAGGCACGCTCTGGCGCTTCCAGCCACGCGCAGCTGCCTACGCCGCGTTCCACTGGCAGCCGTGTGAAGCGCACCCCGAACGCCTGTAGAGCCTCGGCAAACACCTGACACACGCCTGCTTGGAGGGGTGGGTTCAGCAGCGACCTCCCACCAACCCAGGAAAGAAGCCTCCTCCCAACCTGGGCGCTTCCATCCACGTACCTGGGAGCACGTGCACGTGCTGGTGCCCGTCCACGTGCGTGGGGGACCTGCCCAACAACTCCCGGAAGCGGCTGAGTTGAGCTTCTAGTTCCTCTCGCACCTGGAGGGACACAGATACCTTGAGCTTCTAGAAGCAGGCACAAAACGACGAGCTCCGTCTGCTGCCACGGTGTGACTGCTCCAGTGTGTGAACGTATCCAGCGTCCGCGTTTGCCCCAACGACTTCCATGATACCCTCTGGGCTGTGCTTTGAGGATCTAGGTGAGTATCCTCCTGCAGCCACGCCTCCGCACCTGGGGCAAAGCAACGTCTCCAGCCGCTAAAGCCTCCCGAAATCCCATCTTCCCGAGAAAGAAGCCTTCCGGGCTGAGGAGCGACGAGGCGTTGTGGCGGGCCGGACCCACAGGACGGCCCTCAGTCAGGTTGGCGTGGAGACCCGTGGGGATGCTGTGCCTGCGGGAGGAGCGCGAGAGCCAGCACTGGCTGCTACCTAGCGGGCAGCCCCCCAAACCCGCCGGGTCCTGCAGGGGGCCGCCCTCACCTGAGGGCCAGCTCGGCCGCGCTCTCTGCTGCTGTGCCGTTCACCAGCAGTGACACGCTGGTCACAGTGCCTGCTAGGAAGGCCTCCACGATGCCCTTATCGCGCCGCGGGCAGTAACCAAAGTCATCAGCGGTGACAACCAGCCGCACACGGGGCCAAGCCATGGCTGCCAAACAAACGCTGGCTGGAGACCAGAGGGAATGGGCTGCAGCATCCAGACCCCGCCCTTGAACGCTGCCGAGGTCCCACCCCCACGCACACGCCTTAATGCGACTGCACGCCGCTGTTGTTTTTGCCACCTAGAGAGGTCTCGGAGCGTCCTGTAAACGCCCGGATCAACTGCAATGCAAATTTCCTTTTTTATTTTTGCATCTCCCTTTCTCCTCTCCCCCTCCTCTCCCTCTCTTCACTCTCTCCTCTACCTCCTCCCCCTCTCATTCTCTCACTCCTCTGCTGAGGCCAGACTAGGGTATAGGATCCTCTGGAACTGTAGTTAACAGATGGTTGTGATCCACCATGTGAACACATACTAGGACCCGAACTCCAGTCCTTTGCAAGAACAATAAGCTCTCTTTACCACTGAACTATCTCTCTCAAAAAAAAATTGATTTTTGAAAAGTAATTTTTTAAATGTTGAAAACAAGAGAAATGCACAAGAAAAATTCCCCTTACTCTTCCCAGTGTTTACCATTGCTAAATCTCTGGGCAGTGTACTGTCCTTCCATTATTTTCTCTATGAAAAGGAACACCCGCCGGGTGTTGGTGGCGCACGCCTTTAAATCCAGCGCTTGGGAGGCAGAAGCAGGCGGATCTCTGTGAGTTCGAGGCCAGCCTGGTCTACAGAGCAAGTTCCAGAACAACCTCCAAAACAATACAGAGAAACCCTGTCTTGAAAAACCAACCAACCAACCAACCAAACAAACAAACAAACAAAAAACAAAAGAAAAGGAATACCCACCACTCAGGGATGATGCCAGGTTATTTCATTCTTGCAATGTTGCTTTTGTTTTTATGCAGTGCCTATGAGCCCTTTCTTATTAGGTGTTTTACATTTGTTTCAAATAGTTTGCTCTTTCCCGTTTCTAAGGGGAGGCCTTTTCTTAGTACAAGTTCTGTTTTTTTTCTTCCTGAAACAGGGTTTCTCTGTGTGGCACTGGATGTCCTGGAACTCACTCTGTATTCCAGGCTGGCCTTCCATCTGCCTCGCCTCGGCTTGCACCACCACTGCCTGGACGTGAAAGCTCTACATGATGAGAAAACAGTTGTGCAAGCCGGTGGCCACACTGCAGAAAGCCTTAGCCCATTTCCACCTTGAGCTTCAGCAACCTTTACCTCCAACACCTCACTTTTGCTCTTTGCCCAGTGAAGCTTTCTTACCCATGACTTACCAATAGTCACCATGGTGACAGCCAGTGTTGGCTCGGCAATGTGGCTGTCTTGATATTGTTTTGAAAGTTGTATGTATGGCTGACCTCACTCTCATTCAAGCAACTTCTGACCCTTTCGCTTTCACCTCTTCAGTACTGGTATGTGCCACCATGTCTGGCTTGTGTAGTGCTGGGAATTGAACCCAAGACTTCATACATGTTAGGCAAGCACTCTATCAGCCTGTCTTGGTTTCTCCTGTGTTACTTGGGTCAAGCCTGTGATATTGGTAATTTTGTTTCTGTTTCACAGCCACAGCGGATGGAGAAATAGAGCAGGAACTTCTCTACATGTTGAAGTCTGACCTGTTCTCATTCCCTCCATCCTGTCTGACCCCCTGAATCACAGGCAGAGGGGAAAGAGTACAGTTTAATCGTCAACAGTACCTGATGATGCTTTGGAAGGGTTGGAGGCTTCAGAGAACCCTTCAGCCAAGTTCCTGGTGTAAACACTGCTGTGTCCAGTCATAGTGACTGTTGAACCATCAGGTGTCATCCAGCCACTGTGCCCCTTTGGGAGACTGCTCTTGGAAAGGCCAGAAACCTTGAGGGCCCTGGGCCATGAAACCACAGATGGAGAAGAGGAAACTACTAAGCACCTATTGTATCAGGAACAGAGTCATTAGAAATTAGGACTCATTGCTTTGATTCCTGTCCTAAGGAAATGCCAGCTGTTAGACAAAAAGAAACAATGTGACAGTGGGGGACAGGCTTGTGAATCTGTTGGGAATGACAAACTTCTAGAATGAAGGGGGAAAGAAAAAGGTAGAGGTGAGTTTATATGGAGTTTCCATAAGGTGCAATGTGTATTGAAAGAATATTTTATGTAGCCGGGTGATGGGGCTGAACGCCTTTAATCCCAGTGCTCAGGAGGCAGAGGCAGGCGAATCAAGACCAGTCCAGTCTACAGAGTGAGTTCTAGGACAGCCAGGGCTACACAAAAAAACTCTGTCTCAAAAAAACAATGTACATATGCATAATGTAATACTTACCTGTGGAAGGATGCTCAGCTCAGTTTATAGACGGTGTTGAGAGGCTGAATCATATCAGCAAAACCAAAACCAAAAAACAAACAAACAAACAAACAGGGACAGGAACTGCAGCTAGGTCTGTGTGGAAAACCAGGACTCTTCACTGCTTCCAAAAAGAAAGTCTTGAAAAGGAAGATGCTGGCTAGTCTACACTGGATGAGGGAAAGAAACCCTGGAAGGAAGCCAACAGAGTCGGAGGTCCAAGTCTGTGCAGCCACCGGAAATGAGCTGAGAAAGGTGTTTGTGTCATAAGTGGAGGCTGTGACTTTCACCCTGAGAATTAGAGAAACAAGACCCAGATTCAGACCTCTTGGCGGAGTAAGTCAGACCTCTAAAGATACCCAAGCACTGCTTAGCTGGCTTGACAGAAAAATCCAGCCAGGTTGGGGAGGAGCCAGTGTGGGCCCCACCCCAACCATTGTGGGACGATAATGAACGAGAGCCCAGATTCTGGCCAATCAGAACGAAGTATGTAAATGAGCATCCTGGGAGGCTGCGGGGGCGGGATTCCAGGGCACTGTGCGGTAGTTCTTAATAGGGTACTGACCCAGCGAACCCTAAGAAGCACAGAGGAGACTCTGGTGAGTAGGTTGGGGCTTCAGGGCACCTGGGGTTTGAAAGAAGGAAGTTTGGACACCCCCATCCCCGTCCCAGAGAGTTGCAAACAGAAGGAAACAACTTGGGGCTGTCCGCAGATGTTTGGGGGGGGTCCCAGTAGGGGAAGGGTGGGATGTCTGAAGGACATAGGGTACAGGAGTGAGGGACCCATGGAGGCCTAGATCTACCTTTACTTCCCCTCCCCACCCTATTCAGAGGAGTCTGCATCTGTGCTGTAGAACCCGAGAAAGGAAGCAAAAGACAAATTTACCCACATCATGGCAAGGTACCAGCACCACCACCACCAGCACCACCACCACCACCACCACCACCACCACTCAGGATATCTGGCTGATGACGAGGGTGGTCACAGCGCCTACATGGCTCCGGTAAGTATGTCCAGCTGACCCAACCATAGTGTCTGGGCCACTTTCCATTGCTTTCTCATTTCCAGTTGATCTCACTGGGTCACCTGGTGACACCCTTATTGTAGCTTTGACTTCCCTTAAGTCTGCCTGCTGAGCCCTGATCATTCTTTCCCACCTCACTCTCCTTGACCCCCAGGCAGTACTTGGGTGGGCTAGGAGCCCTGAGAAGGCGCATGGAGTCAGTGTGGGGACTCAAGGTGGAGAAGCAGACTCAAGTCGTCAGGGGAGCAGCACAGTGGAGAAGACAGTGCAAATCTGTGCTAGAGACAGGAGGAGGCAGAGAGGGAAGATGGCACTCACAGTTGCCCTTTCATACCATGAACACAGATCTCCATTTTCAGGTTTCCAGATAAGCTGAGCATATATGAAATATAGAATCGGGGACCTTCAGGTCAACCTTAATAGACCCGTACTTTGCAGAGAAGTCCTGAAGAAGGACTGCTCTGAGTGATGTCACCCAGGCTGCAGGTAGCAGAGCCGGGATTCAAACCCACAGTTACCTGACTTTAAATGTAGTTTAGAGCTGGTAAGATGGCTCGGTGAGTGAAGGCACTTGGCCTCAAGACTGATGGCCTGAGTTCCATCCTCAACAGCCACATGAGTAAGAGAGAACCAGTTACAGCCGGTTGTCTTTTGACCTCCACACATGCACACACCCACAAGTAAACGGTCAAAAATTTGAAATGCAATTCAGAGCATGTTCAACATCCTGGGTTCAACCGCCAGCACCAACAAACCTAAAAAAGGAAAAAGTCTTTCCCATTGCTCAAACCCACCCAGCCCCCAATAGCACCCTCGGGGCACTCCAGAGATAGCCCCCACCCTTGCAGAACATCCTGCCTGCTATAACAAGCCTGTCTGTTCAGATGCAGCTGCCCAAGAAGCACCTGTTGTCTGAAAGGGGGCCAACCTACAAGTCTGGACATGTGCCACACCTACCATCAATGAACCGATACTCAGAGCACCAGAGCCAGCAGCAAAACCCTAAGCGCCCTCAGGCATTTGGCAGCTTTCTGGATTTCCTGACAGAGGGTCAGGTACTGGACAGCTTGCAGACAGTGGTGGAGAAGGCAACAGAGCATTTAGCTGCCTCGAAGACCGAGAGGGGAATGCCACTGGTAGATGTACAAGACCCGCTGGAGGAGCCAAGTGGCAGGCAGCGGGCTCGAGCCAGACGCAACGTCAGCCGTGTGCATCGGCACCGACCTCGGCCCACACTGTGTGCTGGGCCCCCTAACAATTACCCATCTTGCTCCAGCTCCATGTCTGACTCCCACAGCCAGGACAGCGCCCCTGGTGGCCGAGGCATAGGCTCACTGCCACCTATGAGGGACAAACTTCTGCTTGAGAAAAACCTCAAGAGGCTACTGCGACTGGAGAACAAAGGGGTGAGATCTGTTGCCATGGCTAAGGCTAGCCTAGGGTGGGCCTGAGCTTAGTGTTAGGGTTAGACCTGGCTGGACACCTCAGCCTTCCTCTCTCTTTGCAGAAAGGCCTGAATCAGTCCTGCTCCCGGAGGGATTCTCTGCTGTGGGACTCACTGGGCAGCCAGACCAGCAGTCAGTGGACCCGGGAGCAGCCCCTGTCTTGGTTCTCTGGGCTTTTGGGCTCCAGCTCAGTCACCCCTGAAGCATCGGAGTTGGGACTTGGAGAACAGGAGATGATTTTCCTCAAAGAAGAGTTGAACAAGGAGATAAAGTCACTGCTGAACCAGCCGGCATCGTTCAACCTGCCCGCGTATTGTTCGCTCAGGGATCCCCATCGTACCCTGGACTTCCTGGCTGAGCGTCACCTCTTTCCTGCCCTGCAGCGTGTAGTCTGCCAGGCTGTAGACAAGCTCAGCCATGCCTGCCGCCATGATGGCTTTCCCCTCTTCCCTGTTGCCTCAGAGCCCACCCCAGTGCTGCCTGGGGACTCTGATCTTCTGCAGAAGGCATCAATACCCACAAGCAGGGATGGGGAGGAGCCTTATGATTCTCCCACCAAAGCCTCCAGCCCTAAGACATCTCCCAGGAAAAGCAAGGACAGACGGGATTCCCCCTCCATGTCTAATGCCCAGATGGCTACCAGATTCAGGCTCAAGGTGACACCTGAACAAGTGTCTAATGTCCGTAGCCCCCCATTCCACGCCATGCAGGAGTCCCCTTACTCTGATCCCAAATTACAGAAATCAACTTTGGCCCCAAGCTCCAATCAGATATCTCAGCCTCGTCATTGCCTGCACCTCACCCTGCCTGCCCCTGGTATCAGAGTGGAGGTGGCCTCCTGCCAGGGCCATCTCAGGGGCCCTATCCAGCATCATCTTGCCTCCCACAGCCCTCTTCCCCCCCATATCCCTATTCCTATGTTCTCCCCATTCCTTTCTTCGGGAAAAAACTTCTCCCCTCCCTCTACTACACCGTGTCCAGAGGTGACTGCAAGAGTAGGGCTGGAGGTGTTAGAGGGACGCATGCAGGGAAAGGGCTCCTTTTCCCATCACGTCTAGTAGCCACTGTTGCTGGTTGATGCCCAAGGACAAGATCTCTTGCCCTGCGTTGCAGAAACCTCCTGGGGTAGATACAAGCTGCTGGGATCAAGACACCTAGTGTACCTATTTCCCCAGGGGCTGTCAAAGATTAATAAAGGCTATTTTTCCTTCGATTTTTTTTCTGAGACAGGGTGTCATGTAGCCTAAGATGCTCTCTCAAATTCATTATATTCTTGCCTTCCCAAATGCTGGGATTATAGGCATGCATCACCATGCCTACAATTTGGGTATTTTTTTTTTTTTTGGTTTTTCGAGACAGGGTTTCTCTGTGGCTTTGGAGGCTGTCCTGGAACTCGCTCTGTAGACCAGGCTGGTCTCGAACTCACAGAGATCTGCCTACCTCTGCCTCCCGAGTGCTGGGATTAAAGGCGTGCGCCACCAACGCCTGGCTCAATTTGGGTATTTTAAAAAAGTTATTCTTTGGACTACCCAAAACAGGGTTTCTCTGTGTAGCACTGGCTGTCCTGGAACTTGCTCTGTAGACCAGACTGGCCTATAAACTCAGAGATTCCCCTGCCTCTGCCTATCAAGTGCTGGGGTTAAAGGCGTGCACTACCACCACCTGGTTTTGTTCGTGAATCTCAGAGGCTATCCCACATGTCTCTTATGGACAGGAACCTTGGCCAAGAGCACCACTCTGTATTCTAGGGTCGAGCTAGGTCAAAGCTATCCTAATCCAGCTATGATTCTCTAGTCTTTTTGGTCAGTAAAAGGGACATTGATCAGGAAATGTGTATGAAGACATAGGTGGTCCGACCCTTGGTGGTCCTGGACATCTCTGAACCTACCATCATCAGGGCTCAGATGTAATTCCTTCTGCATACAAGCTTGCAGGAGCACAGGCTGGTCAGGCTGGCAGGCTTTGCTCTAGACCTGATAGGTGAGGCATGTGGAGTGAATGTTGTGGCAGAGCAGGTGTGGCAGGTCTGTATTCCAGTGTTCTGTGTGTGACTTCCTTGTCTGTAATGGGGAGGATTGGTACCGCTGCCAGGGAGGGTATAACAATGCACTTTCACAGGCAGCAGGAGGGATGGCAGCAACACGAGCTAAACATCTCCTTTTCCCTCCTTGCCTGTTGCACAGAGTCCCAGCACCAAGTTTCCGAAGAAGAAGCCTCTGCCATCCATCTCAACTGTGTCTAGCTTGTCCCACATCTCTAACCCCTGGCTTGAGGAACTCACTAACTTTTTGATTGAGCAGGCAGTCTCTTTGCTTATTTGCAAGTACAAGTTTGAGGAAAGCCTCAATAAGCAACTTGGCTTCATCTCCTTTCCTATCACTGAGGTTCTCATGGACATCTTTCTGGGCTTCAAGAAGGTGAAGGGCACCCACATCCGTCTGTCCTCAGACGTCAACTGGACCTGCCTTCTGCGAAAGTTGGAAGAAGCTGAGTTGGCACGGCAGGCCATACGCCATGCCTCCAGGCCAGGAGTCTCCCAACCTAGTGCCTCCCGTGTTGGCACCTCTCTGCATAGCAGAGAATCCCACTCTGTGCAACCAGAGCGTACTGGTAACACCAATCAGGACCAGAGTACAGAGTCCCGCTTCTCCCTCCGACCTGAGTTGCCAATCCGCCAGTTGCTCAGCCCTCGGGGTCCTGGTATGGGCCAGGAACAGATGCCCAGGAGATCTTCAGAGCACAAGCTGTCTGCACTCTCCGATGCTGGTATGGGCTCCATATCCTTCAAGTCCAAGGAAATAGTAAATATCGAAGAGGGTGAGGGCAGTGAGGAGGAGGAGGAGGACGAGGAGGACGAGGAGGAGGAGGATGAGTATGAGTACGAGTACGAGGAGGAGGAAGAGGAGGAGGATGAGGAGGAGGGCCAGAAGGAGGAGGAAGAGGAGGAGGACAGAGGAAGTGGGAAAGATGAAATCAAGGATCTCTCTGAGGATGAGCTCGCCCCCAGTAGCCTGCCTGAGCCTGAATTGGAGGACTTAATCAATGAGTTCACTTTAATGAGCCCCCATCGCTCCCCATGAGACCCCTGTAAGCCACACAGAGTATTCTAGTCCTTGCCTCCTCCTGCCCTATCCCAGTAGCTGGCCCCCAAGGCAGGCCCTGTCCTGAGTAAGGTTCAGACAACCGAGTGCTCGACAAGAATTCTGCTAATGTTATCAAAGGAGCCAGAGACAAATAGGAATAAATTACATGTTGATGGACACAGCTGTCTGGTCCTGCCTGGTGTGTTATCTTTCATTGTACCTGCATGCCTACCCTTGAACAGCACCTTCAGGGTGAGCTAGTCCTGATGTTACACAAACTTTTCTTTGGGATACAAAACAGGGCACTAATGACACACCAAAGTAATTTCACCAAGGTCCAATTTGGTGAACCAATGATTTTACTGGGTTTACAGGAAAATGGATGAATGGTTACTTACAGGAGTGTGTGACCCCCCAAATAACTCCATCACCAAAGACCCAGTTTGCATATTGACGTCCCCATAGGTGCATAGACAGACCACCCCCACATACCCAGGCTGTATAGACTCTAGCACCGTGGTTCTCAACTTTCTTAATACTATAGCCCTACACCTCATGCTGTGATGACCCCCATCATAAAATTATTTTTGTTACTATTTCATATTTGTAATTTTGCTACTGTTATGAATCATAATGCAAATATTGATATTAAGATGGTCTTAGGCAACCCCTGTGAAAGGGTCATTCAATCCCCCAAAGGGTCATGACTCACCGGTTGAGAACTGCTTGGTTTTCAAACAACAATGGCTTCCAGCTACTACCACTGTCAATTCCCAAGTCCAAAAAGAGAGCATTGCTCTTCCATAGTCTCAGAGATACACATCTCTGGGGAGACTGGGAGAAGCCCCTTTGGGAATCACTAATACCTAATGTTAGAAACATGGTACCTTTAGCCTATGTTCCACTCATCTTTTGGAAGATGTAAGTGACTTCAAAGGCAGTGATAATTTATCATGCCATTGAGGTTGACAGGCTCTCTCCCTACAGGGTCTGTCTCTCTTGCATGTAGCCTCTCTAGATTTAGTCATCAAGCCCGAATTTTACTTTTCTTATTTCTTTCTTTCTCTCCTTATTTTATGTATATGGATTTTTTGGCCTACATTGTATGTCTGCCCACCAGAAGAGAACAACAGATCCCTTGAAACTACAGTTATAGACAGTTGTAGTCTGCCATATGGGTGCTAGGAATTGAACCCAGGTCCTCTGAAAGAGCAACTAGAGCTCTTAACCACTGAGCCATCTTTCTAGCCCTGAATTGTGCTTTTCTTTGTTTTTTGATTGTTTGTTTGTTTGTTTGGTTTTTCGAGACAGGGTTTCTCTGTGGCTTTGGAGGCTGTCCTGGATCTCACGTTGTAGACCAGGCTGGCCTCGAACTCACAGAGATCTGCCTGCCTCTGCCTCCCAAGTGCTGAGATAAAAGGCGTGTGCCACCACCACCCAGCTTTGTAACTGTTTCTGTCTCATGCCTCCCCTGCACCACAGTCCCCAGCTCATTCTGTGAGGAGTTGCACAGCTGTGTTCATGACCGCTCCCATGCCCTCCACCTTCCAATCATAGTTTGTCTCTAGGTTCAGATTCTCAAGACGGTTTGAGCAGTTCAGAGTGAATCAACAGGCAACTCAAGGTCCAGCCAACTGCTGAAGGGGTTCACAGCGGGTCTCCAAATGTGGTCATGAATGTCTCTCATTTTGGGACTTGTCTGCATATCTGTCAACACACGTAAAAGTATGGGTTCCTCTCCTCCCTGTTAGCAAAAGTCAAAGTGTCCATTTCTCCCCCACTTGATTCTGTGCAGACACTCTGACACTAATCAGCAGAACTACAATATGAGTTCCAGGACAGCCTCCAAAGTTACACAGAGAAACCCTGTCTGGAAAAACAGAAGGGGGAGGAGGAGGAGGAGAAGGAGGAGGAGGAAGAGGAGGAGGAGGAGGAGGAGGAGGAGGAGGAGGGGAGGAGAAGAAAGAAGAAGAAGAAGAAGAAGAAGAAGAAGAAGAAGAAGAAGAAGAAGAAGAAGAAGAAGAAGAAGAAGAAGAAGAAGAAGAAGGAGGAGGAGGAGGAGGAGGAGGAGGAGGAGGAGGAGGAGGAGTTACAAAATGTCACCAGGCTCTGGAGTCTAAGCTGTCTACCTAAAAGAAAAAGAGTCTCCAAAAATATTCTCAATGGATATGCTGGTATAGTCATGTTTGAATGTCTTACAGGAAGTTAAGGCAAAGGAAGTTTAAAAGGATAAATGGAAATTACAAAATGATTCTATAACAATAATCTGTGGCTGCAAGGACTGATAGTAAATATGGTACCAGTCTGAGATTAAATAGGGAGTGTGATGGCTAATCTGTTTTATCAGTTTGATTTGAAAAAACAGAACTTCAGTTGAGGAACTGCCTCCATCTCATGGGCCTGTGGGGATTTCTGTGGGGGGATTTTCTTGATTCCTAATTGATGTAGAAGGGACCAGTCTACTGGAGACAGTACCAGTCCATGGCCAAGTAGTCCTGGGTTGAATAAGAAAGCTAAGTGAGCCTGATGGTGATGGTGTATGCTTTTAATTCTAGCACTTGGGAGGTAGAGGCCAAGCAGATTTCTGGGAGTTTGAGGCTAGCCTGGTCTGCATAGAGAGTTCCAGGGCAGCCAGGGCCATATAATGATATCCTGTTTTGAAAAAAAGAATAAAAAAACAAAAATAAAAAACAATACCAATAAAAAAAACAAGAAAGCAGAGGCCAGTCCTAGTAGTACAAATCTTTAATCCCAGCACTCAGGAAACAAAGGCAGACAGATCTCTGGATTCAAGGCCAGAGAGCAATACAGAACAAGTTCTAGGACAGCTAAGGCTACACAGAAACCCTGTCCAAAAATGAACAAATAAATAAACGAAAGCTGAGCACAAGGAGAAGAACGCAAGCAGTGAGCAGTGTTCCTCAGGGGTCTCTGGTGGCAGCAGCTGCTGGCAGATGTCCTCACAGAGACATTTTGTGCAAGTCTGCAGTATTTTGTAGATTATTCTCATCAGACATGCATGCATAAGATCCCTTTTTCTCACTCTCCCATATTTACATTTAATTTTGTTTAGGGGTTTGGCAAAATGACTCCATTTTGATCCTAGCAGTTTTGAAACAGCCTACTTAGAAACCTGCTTCTTTCTATCTGTCATGGAGCCTATGTAATTGCCATCTTTGACCCTAAGTTCAATGGAGAAAACCATGTCTTTTTCTCTTCTTTTGAATCAGGGACCTAAAGATAGCTTTGGATTCTTGATCCATCTGTTTGTGCCCCAGTTGCAAGCATCTACCACTCTGACTGTGTTTACTGTGTTTCTGGGGATTGAATTCAAGGCTTCATACATGCTAGCTAGTCACTCTACCAACTGAACTATACTTCAGCCCCCCAGCTTTTAGCTGGTGCCGATGTCTGCTTTCTTCATTTTCCTACGTAGAAAATGCTGTGAAGGGCCAGCATAGCAGAAGGAGGGAGATATATTAGTAGGTGATGGTAGGTATCAATTAGAAGAAGAATGGGATAGTTTGTATTAGACCAGTGAAGGGACACTTGGAAGAGATGTCATAGAGTTCACTTTGGACATCCTTTCTTGTGGATACAGAAGAGGAGTCAGCTATGTGGTTAGTATGATACCTGGCACTTAGGAGGTGGAAGCAAGAGGACCACTAGTTCAAGGTTACCTTTGGCTACTGGAAATTAAGGCCAGCCTGGGCTACATTTGACCTATCAACCAACAAATAGCAGGAATCAGAATTCTAAGTTTCAGGTTTTCGTATTTTTATTATATTTATTTGTGTGTGTGTGTGTGTGTGTGTGTGTGTGTGTGTGTGTATGCCAACCCTCCAAGTTTGTCTTGAGCAATTGATCATTGGTGTTTCCTTTTTTTTTCTTTTTTTTTCAAAACATTTATCTGGCTGGGCATTGGTGGCGCACGCCTTTAATCCCAGCACTCGGGAGGCAGAGGCAGGTGGATCTCTGTGAGTTCGAGGCCAGCCTGGTCTACAGAGCGAGTTCCAGGACAGCCTCCAAAGCCATAGAGAAACCCTGTCTCGAAAAACCAAAAAAAAAAAAAAACAAAAAACAAAACAAAACAAAAAAAACATTTATCTGTGTAGTCCTGGCTGTCCTGGAACTCACTCTATAGATCAAGCTGGACTCAAACTTAGAGATATGCTTGCCTCTGTCTCCTGAGGGATTAAAGGTGTGTGTCACCACCACTTGGTATTTAGTGCTTCCTTTGTTGAGCCTTGGAAACCTGAAGGGGGGGGTAGTTTGAGGGAAGAGACAATAATTCTGTCTTAGACATGCTAAATTTCATATCTCTACTAACATTTCCAACAAGACATTTTTAGTGCATCTTGGATACACTAAATCATTTAAGGGCATGGTCTTCCAAGTATAGAATAAGGTGCATTATCCCATATGTAATCCAAAATAAAACAAACATTAAGTGTGAAAACTCCACATTGAGTTGTAGATATAGCTCATCAGTAGGTCTTTTGTTTACCATAGGCTAAGCCTTGAGTTCAATCCTCAAAATTACACACAAAACCTGAATTACCATGTTGTTGTTATTAATGACTTTTCTATTTTCTGAGTGCAAAATTCTGGATAGTTTAATTCAATATGAATTTTTCAATCTTCTAAAAATGGTCTCACATGTAGCCCTGGGTGGCTTGAAACTTTCTATATAGGACGTATTGGCCTGAAACTCTGAAACATAAATTGATTTTCTTGTCTGCTTCCTAAGTGTGCTACTACTTCTGGCCTAAACTTTTTTTTTTTTTTTTTTGAGGAAGAGTCTTACTTAGCCCAGGTTGGCCACCAACTCTCTAGGAGAATGACCTCAAACTTCCTCCTTAACTTCCGGCCTTCATCACTTGAGTGTTGATATGCTAGGGATCAAACCCAGGGTTTTGTGCTAGCCAGACAAGCACTCTACTGAGTCACATCTCCGGTCCCTAAATAGAAACTTTAATGAGTATCTAGCTAGTGCTCCAGCTATATACTTCATAAGCTGCTTGATAATGTAGCCCGGAAGCAGTTTCTCTGTGGATCCTCAACATCGAAAAAAGTGTATGTATGATTAAATATGAATGACAGTTCCCAACTGTTTTTTGCTGACCCATCCAGCAACCTTGATATTCTGCCACCAAATCACTCAAGTAGCTGCATGGCCAAGGGAATTCAGAAACCCTGGGATCCAGGAGCTGATTACATGGTCCAGTGACAGTTTAACTCCTGGGGCCAGGAGACTGCAGTAACTGGGATCTGTCTGCTTTATGACCACAAAATCTAGTGATTCACAAGACTGTGCATCTTTACGCCCAGGACTGAAGTCCAGGGGTCCAGTGTCAAAGGGGCTCCTGACTACACCCAAAGGGCTTAAGACAGGGGCCAAGCGACTACTGGCCACAAACCTCGCGGTGCGCCACTCGGAGGCCTCTCGGAGCTGGTCGCCGCCGCCGCCGCTCTCTGGACGTTCATTGGCGGGTCCTCGGAAGCGTGGACCAGTTAAAACCCTGCTAGTGTCTCCAGCCCCCTCCCAGCTACCTCCTTGAAAGCTGGGGGTGGGGCCGCTCCACAACGATCCAATAGTAGTGCAGGAGGAGCGCGCGCGGGAAGACGATTGGCTACTATGAGAGGCGCTGTCAGAGGCGGATTGGCCGGTGTTGAGGACGGAAGCGCAGAGGTCCGGAGCTGCTGGAACCCAGCCGGCCGTCGCGATGCCGGGCGCGAGCCGCGGCGGGGTAGCGGGGGCGCTACTGGGGCTGCTGCTGGTGCTGTCGGTGAGGAGCGGTGGCGCGTCCAAGACCAGCGTCGGGCTCGTGACTTGCGGGTCAGTGCTGAAGCTGCTGAACACCCACCACAAAGTGCGGCTGCACTCACACGACATCAAATACGGATCCGGTGCGCAGGGGTAGCGACTGGGACCGGCACTGGGGAGGAGGCTCAGAGGCCGGGTGGTCCTAGTGGGATTTGTGGGCTGTCAGGGAGCTGGGTAGTTGCGAGTCTAGACTCGCTTGCAGGGTCGTGAGAGGCAAGCCGCGGGGATCGAGGATGTGGAGGGTCCACCGGGACTTGTGGGTCCGGAGGGGACCTGGGCTGGGGTGAGCCCTTGGGGTCCTGAATTAGCGAAGGCTGTGGGAGGAACTTTTTAATGTTCAAGACGAGGATCCCGAGATCTGCAATTGACAGAGACCACGGGGTGGGCTGTCCCTCCTCAGGCAGCGGCCAACAGTCGGTAACCGGCGTGGAGGCGTCCGACGATGCCAATAGTTACTGGCGGATTCGTGGCGGCTCCGAGGGCGGGTGCCCGCGCGGGCTCCCAGTGCGTTGCGGGCAGGCAGTGCGCCTCACGCATGTGCTCACCGGCAAGAACCTGCACACGCACCACTTCCCGTCGCCGCTATCCAACAACCAGGCAAGCCCCGTTCCGAGCCCCGCCGAAAGCTGAGCGAGCAGGAACCTGAGCGACATCCGGGAGGTGTGAGGGAGGGATGAAGGGGAGGGGCCCGAGAGGGGACTCAGTCTCAGCTGCTGTGAAATGGGACTGTTTCTAATCAGACGTTTATGAAGCTCCCTCTCTGCGTCCTGTCCTCAGGAATTTTTACCCCAGAGTTAGGAGAAGGACTGAGAAGTCAGCGAGTGCGATTGATTAGCTCCTATATCGACTCAGAAGGGGATAACTGATAAGTAGTAGAACATTGAAGGAAGGAGCAACTCGGGCTGGTTCTGAAAGAGAAGTAGGAGTTTTCCCCTAGTCCTTTTCCCCTGTGGCATAGCTCCTGCTTAAAGCATGGGGTCACTGCAGCTGGTCGGGGTGGAGGGCTTGAGAAGGAACTGACAGTGCTTTGGGAGAGTTTCTGGGGGGAAATGTTGGCGACAGGGAACATGGCCATTAGACTGGGAAGAACTTAGGGGATTTGCCTTCACTAGGTTAGTACAAGAAGCCCGTGGAGAGAAAGAAGGTCTTAGTTCCAGGGGCCAGTAGGCACTACAAAGACTGATTGCTAACACGGGCTCTAGGTGCTGGTTGGTGGTGGCACATGCCTTTAGTCCTGGCACTCAGGAGATAGAGGTAGGTGGATCTCTGAATTCTAGGACAGCCTGGTCTACAGAATGAGTTCCAGGATGGCCAGGGCTACACAGAGAAACCTGTCTTACAAAAAACAAACAAACAAACAAAAAAGAAACCTTCAGTGGGATGGGAATTTAGGTCTCAAACACCCAGCGATCTGCCTGCCTCTGCCTCCTGAGTGCTGGACTTAAAGGCGTGCGCCACCATACCTGGCTAGGGTGGGACTCTTTTTTTGTTTTTTATTTTTTGAAGCAGGGTTTCTCTGTGTAGCTTTGGAGGCTGGCCTGGCATTCACTCTGTAGACCAGTCTGGTCTCGAACTCACAGAGATTGGCCTGCCTCTGCTTCCCAAGTGCTGGGAATAAAGGCGTGCGCCACCACCGCCCAGCTAGTGTGGAACTCTTGATGTCCACTTTCACAGCTGTGGATGCTGAAGGTCAGGGAACGGCCCAGAGGCCCAGGATAGTAGGTGCTAGACATGCAGCTCCGGTGCTCTGCTCTGTGTGACTGTCCTCCACACCTTACACTCTCAGGAGGTGAGTGCTTTCGGGGAAGACGGTGAGGGTGACGACCTGGACCTGTGGACGGTTCGATGCTCCGGGCAACACTGGGAACGTGAGGCCAGCGTCCGCTTCCAGCATGTGGGCACCTCTGTGTTCCTGTCGGTCACTGGTGAGCAGTATGGAAACCCCATTCGTGGGCAGCATGAGGTGCACGGCATGGCTAGTGCCAATGCTCACAACACATGGAAGGCCATGGAAGGTATCTTCATCAAGCCTGGAGCAGATCTCTCTACAGGTCATGATGAACTCTGAGAACTGGATGGGTGAAGGGAGGGAGGGTGGCTGGGTAGGGATTCTGCAGGGCCACTCTTGTGTGAGACTTTGTTTGTAGAGCCCTCAAGTGCCTTTATGATTAAAAAATGTTGGTTTGTGTTTATATTTGCTGTAACCCCAGGAAAGATCTGGAGGTACCAGCCATGTCTGTCCATGTTACCATCTCTCCTATCTCTAGGTACCTGTTCAAACTTTTTTTTTTTTTGAGACAGTCTCACTATGTAGCCCTGGCTGACCTGGAATTCATAAAGATCTACCTGCCTCTGTGCTGGGATTAAAGGCGTGCGTCACCACAACTGGCCCCAAACTCTTTCATAAAGTCATTTTTTATTAGTGTGAGTGTATGTGCTGTGTATATGTTGGCACCTGTACATCAGTGCATGTGTGGAGGTTAGAGACCAACTCTGTTTGGTTGATTCTCATCTTCTACCTTTGTCTTGGTTCCAGAGATCAAACTCAGGTTGCCAGGATTGTGTAGCACACACTCTAGCTGCTGAGCTATCTCAGTGGCCCCAAATCTCTTTTTTTGGTGCCTGTCCATAAATCTGCTCTGGCCGGGCGGTGGTGGCGCACGCCTTTAATCCCAGCACTCGGGAGGCAGAGGCAGGTGGATCTCTGTGAGTTCGAGGCCAGGCTGGACCTATAGCCTCCAAAACAATACAGGGAAACCCTGTCTCGTAAAAACAAAAACAAAAACAATCTGCTCTGAACAGTCATCTCACCTGTCTACCCTACAGCAACTCATAGCCACGAACTGCAGTTACCAGGACTTGAACTACAGCAACCTCATAGCCATGAACCGCAGTTACCAGGACTTGAACTTAGGCAATTTTTATATTGTGTGGCCTTGGTCTCAGGGTCCCTGCCAACTGGGTTGGTGCTCAAGCTCCCCAGGCCCCTCATTCCTTGCCCTCACGACCCCACTCTTCTGCTGGTTGTGGCAGCCTTGAGATTTATCTCTGGCTGGGTGGTGGTGGCGCACGCCTTTAATCCCAGCACTCGGGAGGCAGAGGCAGGTGGATCTCTGTGAGTTCGAGGCCAGGCTGGACCTATAGCCTCCAAAACAATACAGAGAAACCCTGTCTCGTAAAAACCAAAAAAAAAAAAAAAAAAAAAAAAAGAAATCTGAGGAGGCACAATCCCGGCAGTCATGGCACTACAGTTTAAAGACATGAATAGAGAGAGGGCTGGGGAGCAGGTGCTTGTTGAGCGTGGGGGAACAATTGGTCCTCTAGCACGAGGCTAGCACGTGCGAGGTATGAGGCCCATTTCCAGCTCCAGCTCCAGAATTAAACAAAGGCACGCACCCAACGAAGCATACAGTCTAAATAAATGCACAAGCAGAAGAAATGGAAGGGCTCACGTTAAGCAAGCTAACAGCTCACCAGTGGTGTGTGTGTGGCCTCTAGAGGTAGTGGAAGAAACGACAGATTGTCCAGGCTTGGCCGTGTAGGTCATGAGGACTTCAGGGAACTGCTGGGGATGGAAAGTGTTGATTTCCTGAGAGCCAGAAAAAGTCCCAAGAGGCTGGGGTGACAGTTGTCTGGAAGGGACTTGGAATAGGATGGGAAGAGCAGGAAACACATGGATTTGAGAAATCATTAGACTTTATTAAAGCATGTGGGTGAGACAAAAGCTGTAGTCAATTGAATTCTGAGGAGAGGTGGTTGTGTCTCAAACCATTACTCTCCTGCCCTATGAGACCCTTGTCTTCCCGCTGCCAAACTTTTGTTTTGAGACAAGGGTTCTTCATGTGACTCTGGCTGGTCTGAAACTCACTAGACCCAGTGGCCTAGAATTCATAGAGATTCACCTGCCTCTGCCTCCTGGGTGCTGGAATTAAAGGTGTGCACCACCATGCAGCCAAACTTTTAAATGTTATCTTTGTGTGTGTGTGTGTGTGTGTGTGTGTGTGTGTGTGTGTGTGTGTAACTGTGCACATGAGTGTAGTGTCCTCAGAGGTCAGAAGAGGGTGTTGGATCTCTTGGAGCTGGGGCTACAGATGGCTGTGAGCCATCTAGTATGGGTGCTAGGAACCTCATTCAGGTACAATTGTAACAGCTCTGAAAGAGTAGTACTCAATTTCAATAGCTGAGCCATCTCTCCAGATCCAAAAACTCTTGAGCTTCATCTAGGAGTCTGCACTCCTCTCCATCTCTTGAGATTTGAGAGGATTTAGATGGAAGGAGATGATTGGGAGAGGATTTCAGTAAATGCGGGACAGAGCTGTGGGGCTGAGCAAGGGAAGGGAAAGGTGCATTGTGGGGTCCTAGTCCACCCTAGTACTTGGTCTCATTGGGGAATCTCACTAAAGTTATACTACCTGAGAGGAAAGGAAGCCAGTGTATGCACATGCCAAAGTGTCTTCTCTCATTGACTGAGGGCGGCTGGGTGGGTGGGAGCAATTGCTCAGTAGCACTTCTTACGCATTCGATAAGGGCTCTACCAGTCAGAAGACCACAGACAGAATCACAAGTGGGCTGTTTATTTTTTTCCTGAGAAGAGCTAAGATTGGGGTGGGGCACTCCAGCATTGCTACACCCAGTACATGCAAGGGGGAACTCCTCCTGCCCACCTCTACAGGCAGTGAGGCATTAGAATGCTGATTAGGAGAAGAACTAAGGTGCACAGCAAGTAGGAATCCTGGGTAACCCAATATATTTTTGGAGCAAAAACATTCCATGTAGAATTCAGAACATGACCAAACCTAGCAAAAGTAACATCCATAAAACACTTAATTTTAAAATTTATTTTTATTTTTATGTGTGTGGGTGGGTGTTTTGCCTGCAGAAACCTGGTGTCAGAAACCCTGGAACTAGCCGGGCGTTGGTGGTGCACGCCTTTAATCCCAGCACTAGGGAGGCAGAGGCAGGCGGATCTCTGTGAGTTCGAGGCCAGCCTGGTCTACAGAGCCAGTTCCAGGACAGCCTCCAAAGCCACAGAGAAACCCTGTCTGGAAAAACCAAAAAAAAAAAAAAAAAAAAAAAAAAGAAACCCTGGAACTGGAGTTCAGATGGTTGTGAAAGGGCTTGTGGGTGCTGGGAATGGAGCCTGGGTCCTCTGGGAGAGCAGACAGCCAGCCCTCTTAACCACTGAGCTATCTCTCCAGCGTGCCCCACCCCAAGAGAGTAGTTCATGTAGCTCAGGCTGGTCTTGATTTTGAACTTCTGATACTCTCTTCTCCACTCCCCAAATGCTGAGATTTCTGGGTGTTTTGTTTTGCATTAGTGTGGAGAGGCACAGTATGGTGGCCCATGATTACAAAGACCCAGGAGAATCACCATAAACACAAAGCTAGCTGAGTCACTTAGTGAGTCCCCAGCAAGCCAGTGGTACAGGATGGACCTTGTCTCTAAAGCCAACAGCATTTTTTTCCCTAAAGAAGAGATTATGGCTCAGCAGTTAGGAGCGTTGGCTGCTCTTCCAGAAGACCTGTGTTCCATTTCCAGCATCCATGTGGTGGCTCACAACTGTTTATGATTCCAGTTTCAGAGGACTGAACACCTTCTTCTGGCCTCCTTGGACCCAGGCATGCCTATAGTGCACAGACATGCAGGCAAAACACCACTCACATTTAAAATAAACTGGGCAACATACATTCCTGAAGATTGAAAACCAGCTGTTTTGAAAACATTTTCTCAGCTGGGTGTTGGTGGTGCACACCTTTAATCCCAGCACTCAGGAGGCAGAGGCAGGCGGATCTCTGTGAGTTCGAGGCCAGCCTCCAAAACAATCCAGAGAGCAGCTCTGTCTCAAAAAACCAAAAAAAGAAAAAGAAAAAAATTTCTCTCAGCCATGGAACTGGGGTGAAACAGGAGAAAGCACAGGTGCCAGTTGCAAAATCATGTTTCCCTCCCCCAGCACACACCTGAGTAGAGAGAGCTTTTCAGCTTCTGTGTGCTAGGCAATGTGTATCTTTGGTAAGCCCAGAAAGGTCACTCAATGAACTCTTACCCACAAAGTAGTTTCCAGTCTCAGCAACATCAGGGCATTTTCTTCCCCTACGTACGCCAGGGCCTCCCTATTCCAGCTGGAGGTTTCCTGATGGCGACATTCTTAAAAGTTTGACAGAAATAGGGAAGGCCACTGTCTTTGAAATGACGTCCTATTTTTAGGAGCCTGAGGGCTCCTTCAATCGCAGGTTTAGCCAGTGGCTCGGACACTTCCTGGAATCTCAGCACCCTCCTTAATTTGGTGAGCTGTGTGGCAGCATGTACGCGCCCTCACGAAGATCACTACAATACTTACAGAGAAGCAAGCTGGGAAAAGGCGGGCAGAGTTCCTTTTCATAAGTTATGAATGAGAAAGTGTGTGGAGGGCTCATTGTTAAAACGGCAGAGCCAAAACTCGGGCGCCTGGCCAATCAGAGCCCGGAGGCTATTTTGAAATCTTTCCAGCAGCAGCCAATAGGTGTGCAGTAGGCGAAGCTTGGTGTTGGCGCAAGCCAATGAGGCTGGCGCTGTGCCTTGCTTAAGGCCTGGGGCTCGGCCCTTGGGACTGTCAGAAGGTTAAAGATGGTGCCCACCGGCGAGAGGGAGCCATGAGGTGCGGGGTTGTCCGGGTAGGACAGGGCCGGCGACAACCAGGATCTCCTCCCACTAATCTTCACTTTGTCCCCATCGTGGAAACAAGGGGTGTCTAGACGCCCATGTGAGTATCTGGTCTGAGGTGGGGGGTGTGGGTGTGCTGTGAGGCCAGGGACCCTCCCAGGGCAGGAAACTCCAGATGGCATGAAAGCCTTCGCTCTGCTTCTCCCGGCAGAAGAATCTGTAAGGATAGAATGCAGAACCCATACTGGGGGAATGGACCAAGGACCAGGTCTGTAACAAAAAGGGCCTCACCTGCTATGGGTGAAGCATCCTTTTTACTCTAGAAGGAACTCCAGGCTGAAACAGAGTACAAGGTAGGCCCACTGTGCCCCCCCCACCCCTGTAGCTGAGCACAGGCCTCTCTCCTTTGTGTGTGAGCCCCCCTCAGGTGCTTGCCCTTACATTTTCTCCTGGGAGTGTCTTTCACCAGAATCAGAATCATGTTGGGGAAAGCTTGGATGTCCTGAAGTTCATAAGACCCGAGGACTGTATCTTGCCTGGAATCCCCTCTATGCTCCAAGCCTTGGACAGAGGTCCCACCTATTTGTGGTGGTTGAACTTCCAGCCTTGTACACGATGAGGGTGGTGGACTCCTGCTGGCTGCAGGAGCTCTGACTAGGTTGCACTACTGTGCTCTGAGAAGCAGTGCAATGATATTGTCAAAGCATCTGGGACCAGCCTTGTAGACCACCACCTCTTCACCTACACTTGTAGGTTCTTTCTTCTTTCCAGACCTGGCCCCTCGCGCCTGCAGGCACCCTCCTCCCCCTCCATGCTCATTTTACTCTGTCCTCCACGGAAACTTGAGATTCTAGCCAGGCCTGTGTCTCTGGGGTCAGAGGGCACCCTTGGCCCAGGCAGAGGCCCCGCCTAGGTGGGCATGCATTCCAGAGAGACCAACAGGCTTGCTGGACACTCTTTCCCTGGTGCACTACTGTGGGCCATTGGGGAGCAGGGCAATGATGGAAGGGCATCTGTCAGGCCCTGCCCACTGTCCACACACTCCCTCACTCCCCCAGGGCAAGTGCTTGGATTGCTATTCATGGGCGCAGGGCTGGATGAGACCACCCATCTGAGAGGATAATGTGGACACTTGGCCCCCCAGGTTACGACTCAGGTGCCCATGCTAGGTGTTGTGGCTCATGCCTGGAGGCCGAGGCAGGAAGAGTGCCTCAAATTCGAGGCCGGCCTGGTCTATGGCATAATGCTGTCTCAAGAACCAAAACAAAATTAGGGACTCCAGGAGCTTGTGGAGAGAAACAAATGTTCGCCTCTTTGTACGGAAAAGGTTTATGTACCTTGCTCAGCCTTGACTACACCAGGAAGAACAGGCCTCAGCCTTCCCGAATGCCTGAAGGTAACCAAGGTGAAGAGAGGATGTTCTGAGTGGTGTTTGGGAGGAGGCATGAAAAGGACTCATACCAGGGCATTACCTTGGGTCTTGGGGTTCAGCAGGGGTATACTGCCTGGGAGGGATGGATGGACTTGGAATAGGACTTGCAGAGGAGACCTGTCAGCCATGCCGGGCGCACTCTTTTACAGGACAGTGTGTCCTGAACAGGAGGGACACTGAGGTGTCTGGCATGTCTGCTTTCCAGGCAGGGCTGAGCTGCACTTTTAAGCCCGTGGTGTGCTTGCAGGGTAACCTTTACCAATAAGAGCCAGTGAGAAGCTGGGTGTGGAGGCCCATGCTTTTGAACCCAGCTTTGGGAAGGCATGGGTAGGTGGATCTTTGTGAATTTGAGGACAAGACTCTACATAGCAAGTTTTAGGACAGCCAGAGTTACACGGTGAGACTCTGTTTCAATGCCCCCAGCCCAATCCCTAAAAAAAAAAAAAAAGATCTAGTGAGAGTTGGTCAGGACTGTCTCCTTGAAAGGAGGCCTGGGCTTTCAGATTGCCTTCGGGAGTAGCCTTCACCCCTTGGCTTGAGAAAATCAGCCACAATGCTACTCTAGCTTTCAAGTCCTGGCACCCACAGGGGAACTGCTCTGGTACATATGGGGTTTCAGGCCTGATGGAGGGCTTTGATGGTGAAGAAGCAGCTGGCACGCACCCTCCTCAGTGGCCAGGGCAGATGTGGGCCAGTAGCTCTTGGGGCAGCAGACCCTTCCGAGATGAATATCTTGGGTGTGGGCCGGGAGCTCTAGGGAGGGCTGGGCCTCAGAGGATTTAGGTTGGCTGTCAAGAGGCAGGTGAAGGCGGATCTCTGTGAGTTCGAGGCCAGGCTGGACCGACAGCCTCCAAAACAATACAGAGAAACCCTGTCTCATAAAAAAAAAAAAAAAAAAAAAAAGAGGCAGGTGAAGACAACCTTTAGAAATGTAGCAGAGGGGCAAGAAGGAAAGGACAGGAGGGCATCCAGACAAAGCGGCGGTCATGGGTCGGGGCATGCTGTCGTACACCTTTAATCCCATCATTCCAGAGGCACAGACAAGCAGAGGTCGAAGCCAAGGACTCCAAGCCTGGGCGTAGAGCAGGCAAGCGACTCTCTTGTGGCTTCCTGCCTTTCCTCAGTCGTTCATTGCAGGCGAAGTTTGTCTGCCCTGTCCAGTGGTCAGCCTGGTCTACAGTGGCTTACAGTACAACCAGAACTACACTTTGTCTCAGAAAACAACAAACAACAAACCAAGAAGCGTTCCTGAAGGCGAGGCCAGGACATGACCTGGAGAGGTTTGTGTGGAATGTTGTGGAGTAGGACAGGAAACTGAGAGTGTGCAAAAGCCAAAGCTTTTAAAGCGCTTTGGGGGCAGAAGACAATCCTTTTGGATATCGCCTTGATGAACTGGAAGCTAGATTCCAGGGCAGACTGGTAATGCAGGGTGGGGAGGGAACGAAAAACTGGGAGAGGGCTGGGTGCTTTGGGCAAGACCATGGCTCAGAAGATTGAAATCTCCAAGAACTTGGGTGCCTCCAGTGGTCGAGGGTTGGGGAGAGGGAGCACATCAGCGCGCATGCCCGGAGAGGTGGGCATTGTCACGTGTACTGGCGCTGGCCCCGCCCCCTGACTCTCTAGGGTAGACCGGGAGGTGGGCGGACAGTCTGGGGAACTGGAGTCTGCACTGTGGCTGTAGGGAAAGAGTGGGTGCGTCCTGCAGTCCCACTGGGCTCCTGTCACCTTTCCGGATCTCAGTCCTAGCCCTCGGGAGGGTCCCCTTGCCCCAGGAGCCCTGCCCTGACTGCCGCTCCGCCCCCAGGCAGCACCAGCTTACCACCAGCAGTCCCTCTCGATGGAAGTCCTGGACGAGTACGATAACGAATTCCCCCAGAGTGTGACCTTCTGCCAGCTCATCTCCGAGGACGACTTCGAGAGGCAAGCAGCGACCTACACAGAGCGCGCGCTGCGCCGTCTCTTCCGCACCTTGGATCGTAACCCAGCGCTGGCGGAGAGGGTCGTGCGCAAGGGCAAGCAGACTGAGATCGAGCAGCGGGGACTACTCTCCTGCCTCTGGGTGCGGGCGGCGGGAGGCCACCACTTCCACCTGCTGTTTCTTAGGGCGGGGTTTTGAGGGTGGGCTTTGACTGAGGGATGGATGAATGGGAAGGTCACCTAACGGGGGTGTGTGTGTGTTGTCGGGGGAGGGGAGCTTCGGGAAGCCAGAAGGGTCTTTCCGAAGCCAAGGACTCCAAGCCTGGGTGTAGAGCAGGCAAGCGACTCTCTTGTGGCTTCCTGCCTTTCCTCAATCATTATTGCAGGCGAAGTTTGTCTGTGCTGTCCAGGGGGAACTGAACCAGTGCAACAGTATGGGTGCCCTGGAGATGCATCAGCGCCTGGAGCAGCTGAAGAGGCGCATCCACCGTGTACACCTGTATTCCCAGGGTGAGGCTCAATAATGAAGTTGTGAGCCCTTGGGAATCTGAGCTCAGGCAGCTGCTCTCCCCTCCCCCATTTCAATTCCCATCAACATTGCATTGTATGTCAAGCTCAGATTGGTGACATCCTAGGTGCAAGTAAGGTGTGTAGGTTGGACTTAACCTTCTTGGATCTGGTTTAATGATGAGGAGGAAGGAGGGCCTGGGACAGAAAGGGAGGAAGGAAGGCATACCTTCTAGCAAGATTAGCTAATTTAGAGGCTGACTACAGAAGGAGTTAGGGATAGGGTGGCAGATGTCTTTAGTCCAGGCCTTAGGATGTGTTTTTTTTTTTTTTCCTTAGGATGTGTTTTAATTAAAAGTTTAGCCACGTATTTGAGATGGGGTCTCGTTCTGAATTCATGCTGGCCTCAAAATTGCAGAGATCTGGTTGCCTCTACCTTCAAAGAATACATTAAAGACATGCACCACCACATCTGGCTCTAAAGCAAAACACTATTATTGTGTGTAAGATCAGAGGATAACTTGCAAGAGTCAGTTCTTCCACTGTGGGATCTGAAGATCAATTCAGGTTGCAGGTTTACATAGCCAGTGCTCTTACCCAGTGAGCCATTTGTGTGTGTGTGTGTGTGTGTGTGTGTGTGTCTGTGCGCGTTTAGACAGGGTCTCACTATGTAACACTGGCCAGCCTGGAACTAACTCACTGTGTTGACCAGGCTGGCCTCAAATTCACAGAGATTGGCCTGCCTGGGGCTAAAGGTGTGCACCAGCACATCTGGCTCTCTGTTCTCATTCTTCACCTTTATATTTTGACACGAGGTCTGTGTCTGAACCTAAGGTCATTGATTTGGGTAGCCTGGCCAGCCAGTGAGCATCAGGCATCTATCTGTATCCATCCTCAGAGTGCTGGGATTGTAGGTGTGTGCTGGCCTGCCCTGAATTTTCTGTAGGATGGGGATCTGAATTCAGATCTTTTTTTTTTTTTCTTTTTCCATCATTCCTGAGACAGAGTTTCTCTGTGTAGCCCTGGCTGTCTTAGAACTTACTATGTAGACCAGGTTGGCCTCAAACTCACAGATCCGCCATCTGCCTCTGTCTCCCGAGTGCTGGGAATAAAGGCATGCACCAACACCGCCTGGTTAAAAAAATTTTTTTGAGACAGGGTTTCTCTGTATTGTTTTGGAGGTTGTTGTCCTGGACTCGCTCTGTAGACCAGGCTAGCCTCGAACTCACAGAGATTCGCCCGCCTCTGCCTCCCGAGTGCTGGGATTAAAGATGTGTGCCACCAACGCCCGGCTGCTAAAAAACATTTAAAGCATTTTACTTATTTAATGTGTGTGTGTGCATGTATCCCATGTACTCACACAGATACTTGTGGAATGTGTACTCATACAGATACTTGTGGAAGCCAGAAGAGGGCACTTGGAGTCACGGTTGTGAGCCACCCAACATGGGTGCTGGGATGTGTATACAGGTCTTCCGCAGGAGCAATAAGTGCTCTTAACCACTGAGCCACCTCTCCAGCACTTCTATTACATTTATTTATTGTGTGTGTGTGTATGCATGCGTGCACACACATACTTTCCATGGTGCATATGTGGATGACTGAGGACAACTTGCAAGGCTTTAGGTCTCTCTACCACAACTGAGGTTAGCAGGGTTGGTGGTAAGCATCCTTACTTGCTGAGCCGTCTTGCCAACCCTTATTGTTTGTTTGACAGGGCCTCATAACCTTGGCTGACCTTTAACTTGATAAGTAGCTCAAATTAGCTTTGAACTCCTGATCCTTGGACCCATCTCCTGAATTCTGTGGTTACAGGCATACACCACCACATCCAGCTAATGAACTCTTCTGATGGGTTGCATGAGCTGTTTCTTAACACTCAATGTACTCTCCAAACTCATTCAGTGCAGTCCATAAGACCTGAAAGTAGAGTAGGGCCTGGCTCAGGTATCTCTTTACTTGAACCTGCCTTTGCAAGACCTCACTATGGGTTTTCTTTTAAAAGCTGTACCCTTTTCCACCCCATCCTGCCTCTGGGGCAGGATGTAGTCTGGGGACTCACTGTCTGGGGCCTGGATATCCTTGCTGGTGTTAGCAGACTCAGTCTTCCACAGTTCTTGCCTTGGATGCCACAGTTTAGCCCACAGGGCTGGTTCATTCCACTACTCCCTTCAAAATTATACCCTTAAAGTTAGACATCTTGGCATGGATTCTGCCTGCTCTTGTGCAGATAGGGCATCTGGCTCTGCCTGTAAGAGGTAAAAGTAGGGCTGATATATGGCTCTGTTGGTAGAATGCTTGCCTAGAACATGAAGTCCTGTGTTTAATCCCAAGCAGCGCGTAAACTGTGTACATATAATCCCAGTAATGTGGAGGTTGGAGGTAAGAAGACCACAGGTTAAGGTGATTCTCAGCTGATGATACAGGCCAGCCTAGGATACATAAGACCCTGTTGTAGAAGGGAAGGAGGGGAGAGAAAAGGGAAGAGGCAGAGGGAGAGAGAGAGAGATTGATTTTGGATCCCTTCTCTAAGGTGTTGGGTAGCTGGTAAGATAATGGCTACTGGCCCCTGTCAGTGGTGGCCCTAGGTAGTGTAAAAAGCCTGGGAAGGCTTTCCTTTGCTGGCGAGGGCTCATGAAACCCTGTGTTACTGTGTCTGGGTCCCACTGGCCAAGCTGTCAGAACTCACGGTGCCATTTGCTGCAGGTGCCAAGAAGAAGAGGAGGAAGCTGAAACCAAAGAAAGCAGATCCTGTCCTCCGAGACCGGTCAACCTCCCCATGCCTGCCACCAGCTCCGTTACCACCACCGTTGCCACCGCCACCGCCACCGCCACTGCCACCGCCTGTCACCACCGTGGCCTCTGTAGTGGCTGCATCACCCCCTGTCTACACTATGCCCAGGGTCTTTGGCCCCTTTCCTCCAATGTCTGGAAAGCCGGTCAGTGGGAACATGCTCTACTCTAGTGCTAGCCGGGCTGCTTCTTTCCTCCTGTCCCGCCCCCGGCAGTGTTCTCAGATCCCTACAGAGGGGCTCTGTGTATGAACTAGCAGCAGGTCAAACAAATAAGGGGCACTGCCCTGGCTGAGGGCCACAGTGGAGGTGAACGGTACAGAGTTCCACCTCCTGTCCTTCATGAGCCAGCAACCCAGGTGTACTTGGGGTGTCCCCAAGAATAGGAGGCACGCCACAGACTTTCTTCACGTCTCCCCATTCCTGCCTCTCGGTGCTTTCTCTGCCCCCATCTGCACCTTTGGGCTCCTGTTTATTCTGTGTCGTTCACTTCAGGCCCCCCTTCTCCAGAAACCCTCCCCTTACCCATTACCCTTGTCTTGGAGTAGGGATTCCTCAGTTCCCAGCTACCATTTTCTCTGCATTCCTGAAATCAACTATTTATCTTTCGGAAATCAATTCTTGCTTCCTGTGTAAGGACTGCTTTTCTGCTCTTTTTCATTCTGTCCTGACATTTCCTTTGTTTCCTGTAGATGGAGAAACTGGATGTTTCAAGGTCTGAAGTGAAATTAAGCTGGAATGGTCTTTCATCAACTTCAAAGAGGTGGAAAGGATTTTGCTCAGCTTGAAGGAAACAAAAAACATTTGGGGGACATCTTGAGTGCCAAACTTGGTTATTTTGTCTCAGCCTCTCGATTCTGACAGTTTTGGGTGGTGATTGTGCTTATTCCCAAGAGTTTGGACTGTGAGGGGATCCTTGGACCTATGTCACACATAAGCTGATGCGGTGGATGGGCCCAGCGCCAACATCCTATTTCCTCCCTATCTTACAGCCACATGGTCGATCTGACCCCCTTGGTCCTCAACCCTGGAGGCTTCCATTTCTCGTATTTGACAGGAAACAGTGCACACAAGCTTCATTGTCCTGGCTTCCCCTGGTGAGTGTCTGCAGCTTTCCAATCCTGTCCCTTGGGCTGTGTTCCAGTGCTGGGGTCCTACCTCTCACAGGTACTGTGATAGTATGTTCAAGGGCAGAAGTTCATGATATTCTTTCCACTCCCAGAACTGCACATGTAATCAGTGTTTGCAATGGTAGAAAACGTCCATGATTGGCCAAACCCAGGCCCAGCCTAAAGGAAGCAGCTAAGGGGTAGCCTTGGAATCATATTGCAAAGCAGGGTTCACTAAATGTAGATAGTTAAAAATCACTTATAGAAAGCTAGGCGCACGCCTTTAATCCCAGCACTTGGGAGGCAGAGGCAGGCAGATCTCTGTGAGTTTGAGACCAGCCTGGTCTACAAGAGCTAGTTCTAGGACAGCTTCCAAAACCACAGAGAAACCCTGTCTCAAAAAGCCAAAAAAAAAAAAAAAAAAAAAATCACGTATAGAGCTAGAAATGCAGCAGCTTGCATTCACAGCACTTGGGAGGTGGAGGCAGAGGGATCAGAATTCAAGGTCATCTCTGCTTATGTAGTCAGTGTAAGGCCAGCCTCAGCTACATGAGATCCTGTCTCAAGGGGGAAAATTCTGTGTTTTGCCTATTCATCCTTTCCTTTCCTAAATTCCTGACAACCCCTGGTGGGTGCGTGTGTGTGTGTGTGTGTGTGTGTGTGTGTGTGTGTGTGTGTGTGTGTGTGTCTGTGCCTGTGTCTGTGTCTGTGTCTGTGCCTGTGTCTGTGTGTGTGTACACGAAGGCACTGCATGTATGTATTGATTTTGGTCTGTGCACATGTGTATAGAGGTCATAAGTGAATGATGGAGGTCTTCCTCCATCACCCTCCACCTTTTATTATTATTACTGATGCAGGGTTTCTCACTGAATCTGGAATGTCATAGTTTGAAGCTGCAGGCATCCTTGTGTCACTATTCTCCCAGCTTTAGTTCTATAGGAGTGCCCTGCTGTGCTTGGCTTTTTATGTGAGTGAGGAAGATATGAAGTAAGGTCTTCACACCTCTTTGGCAGACACCAGTCTAGCCTCAAATCACCATCTTTTTCACTGTCTTCATTGTTTTACCTTTTTTTTTTTTCTCTTTAAGACAGGGTTTCTCTGTATAGCCTTGGTTGTCCTGGAACTCACTCTGTAGATCAGGCTGGCCTTGAACTTACAGGTCCACATCTCTCTGCCTCCCAAGTGCTGGGATTACAGGCGCGTGCCACCACAATCCAGTGCCCCTCCTTTTTAAAAATGTCCAGGTTGTTCTGGAACTCCTGGACACGAGTGATCTTTCGGCTTCACTACTCTGAGTATTAGGACTGTTCAGATGATTTACATACCGGAGTCACAGATTCTCAGAGTTTACCCAGAGCGACTTGCAAACAAGTAGAACTTTGTCTCAGGCTTCTTTATAGCCAAGAGATGGAGCCCTGAGATTTCTACAGTGAGTGCTGTGCACCCATCAAAGCTCAAAATAAACTGAGAATTGTACTGTCAAGGGTTTAGAAACTGCCTCTTCTATTTTTTTTAATGATCTATTTTTATTTCATGTGCATTGGTTTGCCAGTATAAGGGTGTTGGTTGTCTTGGAACTGAAGTTCCAGACAGTTGTGAGCTGCCATGGGGTGCTGGGAATTGGACCCAGGTCCACTGGAAGAGCAGCCAGTGTTTCCAACCACTGAGTTATCTCTCCAGCCCCATTGAGATTATTACTTATTTATTTTTGAGATAGGGTTTCTCTATGTAGCTTTGGCTAGCCTCGAACTCATAGAAATCCACTTGCCTCTGCCTCCTGAGTGTTGGGATTAAAGGTGTGTGTCACCATCGTCCATTCCCAAATTTTTTGTGTGTGCAAAACTGTGTGTATTGTTGTTGTTGGGAATGGAATCCATGGCTTTGCCTATGAGCCAGTGTTCCACCATTGAGCTACACTTCAGCCCTAGCCTCATTTTTATAACTCTTTCTTTAAGAATAGCTTACCTGGGCCAGGCGGTGGTGGCACACTCCTTTAATCCCAGCACTCGGGAGGCAGAGGCAGGTGGATCTCTGTGAGTTCGAGGCCAGCCTGGTCTACAGAGCAAGTTCCAGGATAACCTCCAAAGCAATACAGAGAAACCCTGTCTCAAAAACAAAACAACAACAACAAAAAAACCCAAAATAATAGCTTACCTAGCACATGACTCACACATTTAGTGTTCAATTCAGGGCTGGTATATTAGTTACTTTTCTATTGCTGTGATAAAACGTCATGGCCAAGGCAACTTATGAAATGACGGGTTCATTGGGAGCTATAATTCCAAAGGGACAGGATTCCATCACCATATGGCAGAGAGAATGGCAGCAGGTAGGCAAGCATGGCGTGGGGGTAGCAGTTTAGAGCTCAGATCCTCATCTACAAACAGGAAGCAGAGAGTACACTGAGGATCGTGGAAGGCTTTTGAAACCCCAAGCCCACCCTGTGGCACATCATTTATTTTTTCTCAAACAGTTGTAACAACTCAGATCAGATATTTGAACACATGAGCCTCTGGGCCCACTCATGCCACCACAATCGTCTCAGTGGGTAAAGGCATTTGCTCTGGGTGACCCTGAGTTTGATCCCTGAGGAAGGAGATCATGGTGGAAGGAGAGACTGACTCCTGCAAGCTGCCCTCTGAGCTCCACACGCATGCTGTGGCAAACTTGCTCACACTAAATTTTTTTAGAGGCTTTTCTAATAACATACCATCATCAGCTTCCCTCCTATACAGCCTCCGACAAAATTGGCTTGTCTCCAACCCCATGATATGAATATTTTACCTTTATACCATGAAGGCTAGGAGGGCACCAGAATCCATCATGTTGTTTGTAGCCAGGCAGACTTTGAGGCATTTGTGGTGTGAGACTTGAAGTCCATATAAGATTGTCTAACACATCAACAGGCTCAATGCTCCTTCTGTGTGTGCTTTATCTGTGACAGGAATAAGAGTGCTTTCCTTACAAAAGAGCAGAAAATCATGAGTGTTGAAGGCACAAGCAGAGTCTGAAAATGAATTAGGTGTTGTTGTTTTGTTTTTTGAGACAGGGTCTCTCTGTAGCTTTGGGGTCAGTCCTGGAACTTGCTCTATAGACTAGGCTGGCCTTGAACTCACAGAGATCTGCCTGTCTCTGCCTCCTGAGTGCTGGGACTAAAAGTATACACCACCACCACCTGGCAATGTGTGAGGCGTTTTTGGTTTTGTTTTATTTTGTTTTTTTGAGATAAGGTTTCTTTATAGCTTTGCAGGTGGTACTAGAACTCGCTAAGTAGACCAGGCTGGCCTCAAACTCAGATATCCTCCTGCTTCTGCCTCCTGAGTGCTAGGATCAAAGGCGTGCATCACCACCGCTTGGCATAGGCTTTTTTTTTTTTTTTTTTTTTTTTTTTGGTTTTTCGAGACAGGGTTTCCCTGTGTAGCTTTGGAGGCTGTCCTGGAACTAGCTCTGTAGACCAGGCTGGCCTCGAACTCACAGAGATCCGCCTGCCTCTGCCTCCCGAGTGCTGGGATTAAAGGCGTGCGCCACCAACGCCCGGCTGGCATAGGCTTTTAAAAGTAATAAAAAATCAAGGCTTGCTCTATGAAGGGGAAATCCAATTGCATTGATTTATTGATTTTTGTTGTTGGTGTTTTGGTTTGTTTTGTTTTTTCAAGACAGGGTTTCTCTGTGAAACAGTTCTGGCTGTCCTGGAACTCACTCTGAAGACCAGACTGGCCTCAAACTCACAGAGATCTGCCTGCCTCTGCCTTCCAAGCGCTGAGATTAAAGGTGTGCGCCACCATACCGGAAATTCATTGGGGTTTTATATGTTCATAGTTGTGTAATTTTAGAACATTTTTATCTTAGAAGATGTGTTACCAGTCCACAGAAGGCAAAGCAAGAGGAGAGAAAAAACGGGCGAGGGAAAGGGAGTGGGGGAGGAGGAAGAGAAGCAGGTAATGTCAGTTTTATAAATCAGTTCTTCACAAAGGGAGAAAATATTTACAGGTCATTTGTACAGGATTTGTTTACAAATAGCCAGGAAAAAAAATTGGTCATCATCCTCCATAATTAGGAAAATGCAGTTCAAAACTACAATGAAGTTATACATTCCATCAACTCAGGACCTGCAATTAAGCAAAAATGATGTATTAAGGGTTTGGAGAGTTGCAAAGCTGGTTGTGATAGTTGTCTAAACTGTTCTTTCTTGAATTTATCATCCTCCTACCTCAACCTCCTTAGCAGTGGAATTACAGGCACGTACCACTGGGCTTTGTTCTGATGGCTGCTCTGTCAGCTTCTTTGGACTGAGAGATTCCTGGACTAGGAAAGCATGCATCTGGTTTGCCTGTGATGGTGTTTCTGCAGGTGACTGGAGCCAAACCATGAGTGACTGTTGGCAAGTAGACTCACTGTGACAGATAGGGTCTACACGGAAGCAGTGGGTCAGGAGGACATGTCTCTGATGGCTGGTTCTTCCCACTGACCCTTGTTACTCGTTGCTTCCTGGCTAAAGTGAACAGATTTCTTCTCCTATTTCCTTGTGCTGTGATGTTTCTGCTTTGCCCTGCATCTAAAAACCATGGAATTAGAAGATCATAGACTAAAAACTTCTAAAGTTATGAACCAAAATAAGCTCCCCTTTTATTTTTTTTACTTTAAGATAGGGTCTCATTATGTATCCCTGGCTGGTCTGGAACTCATAATGGTCTGTCTGCCTCTGCCTCCCAAGTGCTGAGATTAAAGACAAATTTTTCCCTTTGAATAATTTCTCTCAGGATTTCTTTACAGCCTAACATGGGTGGCAATGTAAAGCAGTAGAGCCATTTGTGAAAATCAGCTTGGCAGTTCCTCAGAGGTTAAGCATAGAGTCCTAACATAGCTTGGTAATTCCACTTGTGTGTATGTCCTGGGAAGGCCTGAGACAGGGACTGAAACAGGTGCTTGCATGTGAGTGTTCATACATCATCATACAAACATGGAAACCACCTACCTGAATCCAAGATGAATAAACAATGTTACATGTTCATCCCATAGAGTATTATATACATGAACAGAGAGTACATGAATTGAAATATAAGATACACAGGAAAAATACTAAACTGGCAGTGGTAGTGCACGCCTTTAATCCCAGCACTCGGGAGGCAGAGGCAGGCGGATCTCTGTGAGTTCGAGACCAGCCTGGACTACCAAGTGAGTTCCAGGACAGCCTCCAAAGCCACAGAGAAACCCTGTCTCGGAAAAAAAAAAAAAAAAAAAAAGATGGCCTTTTATGCCTGTCTGATTTCATTTAGGGTCATGTTTTCTTTTTTTTTTTTTTTTTTTTGGTTTTACGAGACAAGGTTTCTCTGTATTTTGGAGGCTGTCGGTCCAGCCTGGTGTGCCACCACCACCCAGCTAGGGTCATGTTTTCAAAGTCCATGCATCCTGCAGGTATCCTTCAATCATTTTTTATGGTTCAATAATATTTCTTTGCATTTTTTTCTGTATGTGTATTGTGTTGTATGTGTGTGCATGTGCGTGTGCAGAGAATACGGGTGGAAGTCAGGTTTTTTCCTCCATCACGATTCACATTTTCCTTTTAAATGGTTTTTATTTTGTGAATGTAAGTGTTTTGCCCACATACATGCCTGTGTATCATGTGTGTGCCTGGTGTCCCAGGAAGTCAGAAGAGCATGTTGGAGTCTTACAGATGGTTGTGAGTCACCATGCAGGGGTTGAACACTGAGCCCAGCTCCTCTGTGAGAGCACTTAACCATCTCTCTAGCCCTTTTATCTAGTTTTTTTTTTTTTTTGACACAAGGGCTCTCACTGAACCTGGAGCTTGCTTGGCTGGCTGTGAACCTGGGTCGTGTACATGCATGCTGCTGTGCCAGTTTTTGGATGGATGCTGGGGATGAGAACTCAGGCCCCCAGGCTTGCACTTTACTGACTGAACAGTCTCCTCAGCTTCTGCTTTCGTGTTATTATCTGTGCATCAGTTCTAAGTTATCCAGTCAACACTTTTGACTATAATGACATTGTGAACGATTTGGAAAAGGTTTAGCGAGGTCATAGTTACTTTTCTTGAGTAGACATCTAGGTCATGTGGTAAATTTAATGCATATATAATATACATTGTATGTATTATATACATATGTATATACCCACATACATGTCTATACATTTTTTACAGTGTTGGTGATGGAACCCAGGACCTCACAAATGCTCGGCAAGTACTCTACCACTGACCTGCATTCAGGATCCATGTTTACTAGTTTGAGAAAGTGCCATACTGTAAAGTAGCCTTATACTGTCTCACTAGTGATATATTGGGGGTTCATTTTTTTCCCCATAAGCTAGGAACACTTATATTATTAAAAGATTTCTTATTCGTGTGTGTGTGTGTGTGTGTGTGTGTGTGTGTGTGTGTGTGTGTGTGTGTATGTGTACACCACAGTGTCCCTGGGGCATGCATGTGATCTTACAAGGAGTTGGCTCTCTCCTTGTCATAGGTGGGCTCAGGGAATTAAACACAGGTCATCAGGCTTAATGGTGAGTACCTTTACCTACGTGTTGGCCCTGGCAATACTTATTATCTATCTTTTAAGGCAGGATTTCTCTTGGAGCCCTGGCTGTGCTGGAACTCACTCTGTAGACCAGGCTGGCCTTGAATTCAGGATCCACCTGCCTCTGCCTTCCAAGTGTCAGCTTTTATTCTTTTCTTTCTATTTGTTTTTTGTTTTGTTTTGTTTTGCTTTGAGACAAGGCCTTGCTGTGTAGCCCTGGCTGACTTGAAATTTGCTAGGTATACCAGGCTGGCCTTGAGTTGTTCCTTCTGACCCTGTCTCCAAGTTCTGGGACTGTCAGTATGCACTGCCATGCTTTGCATGGCTTTATTAATCTTTCTTTGTTTGCTGTTTCTTTTGTTCTTTTGAGACGGGGCCTCACTCTTTTGCTCTGGTAGCCTGGACCTCAGTATGTAAATCATGCTGGCCCTAAATTCACAGACATTTACCCACCTCTGCCTCTCCTCTGAGTGCTGGGGCTAAAGGGGTGTGTCACCACACCCATCTGTTTTAGTTTTTGCGCTAGGGATCAGGGCTAGGGCCTACTAGGCAAGTGCTCATTCTCCCTCTTAGTCATCCTTACAGCTGTATTTTAAACAAGTAAATAGAAATGTGGGAATGAGATAGCTCAGTGAGGAAAGTTGTTTGCCACCAAGGCTGAAGACCTGAGTTTGGTTTACATGGTGAAAGGGGACAACTGACTCCTTCAAACAGCCACCCCCTCACCTGTACAAGTACACTGTAGTACCGCATGTTACCCCACAATAAACACATGCAGTAAAATTTAAAACAGTTTTTCAGATGGTGCTCACAATGTTGCCCAGGTAATCTTTTTTTTTTTTTTTTTTTTTTGGGTTTTTTTTTTTGGTTTTTCGAGACAGGGTTTCTCTGTGGCTTTGGAGACTGTCCTGGAACTTGCTCTGTAGACCAGGCTGGCCTCGAACTCACAGAGATCTGCCTGCCTCTGCCTCCCGAGTGCTGGGATTAAAGGCGTGCGCCACCAACACCCGGCGCCCAGGTAATCTTACCTAGGCTGAAGCAGTCCCCCCCCCTCAGCCTCCTAAACAACTGGGGCTTTATTATGCTGCCTCAGAAGCAGCTTCTCTGACATAGCAGCCCCAGGGGTGTGGACAGATCTCATTGTGGCTATGGTTTACATTTTCTTGTTGACCAATGATGTTGGATGACTTTCCTGAACTGCTGATTTGTTTGTATTAGGGAAATGTGTATTTGGTTTCTTTGTCTATTTCTATTTTTTATTTGTATTTTATGTATATTGGTATTTTGCCTGAATGTCTGTGTGAGGTTGTCAGATCGTCTGGAACTGGAGTTACAGACAGTTTTGAACTGTCTTGTGGGTGCTGGGTATTGAAACTGGGTCCTCTGGAAGAGCAATCAGTGCTCTTAATCGCTGAGCCATCTCTCCAGTCCCCTCTTCCCCTCTTTGTCTCTCTTTCTTTGTCTTTTGTTTGTTTGTTGTTGTTGTTGTTTTCCGAGACAGGGTTTCTCTGTGGCTTTGGAGGCTGTCCTGGAACTAGCTCTTGTAGACCAGGCTGGGGGACAGGGACCCGAGTGCTGGGATTAAAGGCATGCACCACCAACGCCCAGCTTCTCCCACTCTTTTTACTTTCCATTTCTTTTTCTTTTACCTATTTTTAAAAAATTGTTTTGTTTTTTGAGACAGGGTTTCACTCTGTAGCCCTAGCTATCCTGGAATTCAATCTGTAGACAGGGTGGCCCCAAACTCACAAAGATCCACCTGCCTCTGCCTCCTGAGTGCTGGGATTAAAGGCCATCTTTTCAAAATAGGTCATGAACTATAGAAAGGTCTCAGATCAGTGAATTGGTGTTTGAACTTGGTTAATATCTTGGAAACTGTCTCCAAAGCAAAAGTCCTTTTGAATACAGGGCTTATGTGTCCTAAGTGACTCACTACAGAGTCACACCCTTGACCCTCTGTCTTGGCTTCCGAATCAGGATCTCACTAAGTTCATCAGTCTGACCTTGAACTTTCTGAGGGTCCTTATGAGCCTCATAACTTTTTTGTTAGACTAATGGAGAAAAGACACTTCTGTAAAACTTTATGGTAATGTCAATTAAAAAGAGGAAATGTGGTTGAGCATAGTGGTGCACACCTTTAAGCTAGCTCTGGGGCATCAGTGGCAGGCAGATCTCTGTAAATTCAAAGCCAATCTGGTCTGCATAGTGAGTTTCAAGTCAGCCAGGGCAACACAGTGAGACCCTGTCTTCTTAAAACCAAACCAAAACACTAATCAAAATCCAAACAAAAAATCACTACTACTACCAAAATAACCAAAGCCAAACAAACAAACAAAACAACAACAACAAAACACAAAGCGGAAATATGAATCCAGGCATGATAATACTTGTCTTCAATTTCAGCACTCATGAGGCTGAGGCAGAAATACTGCTGCAAATTTGTCATCAGCCTGCTCAAGAAAAAAAGTTCTAGGGATCCAGGCCAACCAAGGTTATGCGGGCTATTATAGCAAGACCCTGTCTCAAAAAAATAAAAGGGCAGTAGTAGTAGAACATACCTTTAATCCCAGCACTCGGGAGGCAGAGGCAGGCGGATCTCTGTGAGTTCCAGGCCAACCTGGTCTGCAGAGTGAGTTCCAGGACAGCCAGGACTACACAGAGAAAACCTGTCTTGAAAAAAAATTAAAAATCTAGAAAGAAACATATTCATTCATGTTATGGGATATTGTACGGCTATTCAAGTTATGAAAAAATAGTTGTTAATGGCATTTCTGGGAAGATGTGTGAGCGAATGTCTATTCCTCTTAGATAACTTTCTGATGACAGATCAAAGAAATAATGCACACACATTTAGCTTGGTGAGCTAGAGTTTATTGTGATTAGCAGGGAGGTCAACTCAGTCGGTTACATCACTGAAAAGCTCGAATGTGTTGCTTGAGTGCCTTCCCCAACTCTGAGGCTCTCTTCCTCTTAGCCATGTTTTATTGATTATATACCCTTACTACTTTTTTGTTAGTTTTTTGGCATTTTCTTGAGTTTTAGGAGTTTCTATCCAGGAGGAAATGTTTCAATCTAGAGACAATTGCTGCAAGCATATCTTCACAGAATGATGCCCAAGTAGAAGTGTTATGTTAGGAAGTCACACTTTGATCTACCACCCTGATCAAAGGGGGTGCAGGCGGTGACTGGTTACATGCACATTCCTGTGACCCTTGCCTCTGGGAGGCTGAGGCAAGAGGATTGCTGCAAGTTCAAAAGCAGTCTGAACTACATAGTTTGAGGGCACCCAGTCCCCAAAAAGCAAAACAAAGCAGCCATCATGACATTTACATTCCTTTAAGCGTCAGCAGGGTAGCCCACTGGTGGTTTGTGCCGTGCTCCTCCAGGTGTCATTCATAAGCATTAAGATTCGTTTCAGGTTTTCTACAGTACTATTAGTGCTATAACACACAGCGCTGAGCAGACTCCTTGGCAGAGGTCTCTAGAAGAAGAAATATCTTGGGAGACACCCTGTAGCCTGGGACTTTATTACATGGATGTCTGGCAGCCCTGTGTGCTCGTGTCCTACTTCATGGCATGTGTTGGCCATCTCCCATGCAGGACAGCAGCCTGCAGTGAACCCTGCAACACTGATGATACTCCATCTCCTGTCGTGAAAGCTTCCATCTTCACCCCGCCTGTTCTACTCAAGTTCCAGCCTGTGCCCAGACCTAAAGACGATTCCGAGAATGACCCAGGCAGTGCAGAGTCCATCCCTGCCGAGAAGGGCGAGTAGCCTCTTCCCTACAGACCATGCCCCAGGAATGAATAAAATTCCTACAGAGGTGCATTGTAAGCGGAGTTTCTCTGTGTTTGTCAACCACTCCCAAATAACCATCCAGAGACTTATTATAATTCTCAGCCAATAGCTCGGCTTGTTACTAGCTATTTTGTTGTTGTTGTTGTTTTTTTTTTCAAGACAGGGTTTCTCTGTGGCTTTGCAGGCTGTCCTGGAACTCGCTCTGTAGACCAGGCTGGCCTCGAACTCACAGAGATCTGCCTACCTCTGCCTCCCGAGTGCTGGGATTAAAGGTGTGAGCCACCAATGCCCAGCTTTACTAGCTGATTCTTAACATTTTAAATTAACGCATATATTTGTTGTCTACCCTCGGCCATGTGGCTGTACCTTCTTGTGACTCCTGAGATACTGCCCTTCTTCCTCCTAGCATCTTGTTTGGCTGTCTAGTTTGTGTACCTCCTGCCTAGCTACTGACCAGTCAGCTCTTTTATCAAACCAATCAGAAGGTGCCTTGGCAAAGACACATCATCACAGTGTACTGGTGCTGCGCTCCCCAGGGCTTCTACATCCTCTCTGTACTTCCATCAAAACAAATGGGATACAGCCAACTTGAATTCCCAGTTTAAAGCTGCATAGAATATGTATAGTATGCCAGGCGGTGGTGGTGCACACCTTTAATCCCAGCACTCGGGAGGCAGAGGCAGGCGGATCTCTGTGAGTTCGGGCTGGGCTGGACCAACAGCCTCCAAAACAACACAGAGAAACCTTGTCTCGTAAAAACCAAAAAAAAAAAAAAAAAAAGAAGAAGAATATGTATAGTATGTATTCAGTCATGTGTGGTGCACACCTTTAGTCCCACCCCCCTCCTGCCAAATATGGATTGTATGTGTTTATTAGATCAGTACCATGCAGTGGCCCCTTGCTTACACTCCCAACAAGCAATTCCGTATGTGCACTTTGAGAGAAGGGGGTGGGGATATTGTTTCTCTTCAGTGATTGACCCCGTTGGGTTGGGTTGCTCTTTCCTTGAAAGTGAAGTATATTTTCCTTATATATGTTCTCCAAACACAAGCCTACTTTGGTGAGTGTTTTTGCCTGGAAGTGATTCAGTAGGTCTGTCAGTTTCCAGCTTGCTAATTCTAAGTTTCAAAAATGTGATTCTCATTGTTATCTCATATGCAGGCCTTAGAGCCTGTTCTCCATTCCAGATGTTGATCACTATTGGACATTAGTAACATATTAGTCATGGTGGATGCCCATGCCTTGCTTGGGACTCTGTATTTAAAAAAATCAGAACATAGGCAAAATTACTGCATAATTACAAATTGTGATAAACTATGGGAGAGAGATGAGGGGTGGCCAAGGAAGTGTATTTTTTTTCTTCTCTCTTTTTGAGACAAGGCCTCACTGTATATTCCTGGTTGGCTGTAACTCACTATGTAGATGAGGCAGGACTTGAACTTGATCCTCCTGCCTCTTCTTTCCAAGTGCTGATATTAAAGGTGTGTGTCACCATGCTAGACTAAAAGATCTTTTGAGGTGAGATTTATTTGGAAACCATAAGCCATGACATGAGAAGAGGTGAAGGTAACTTGCTTTGGGTGATGGGGGATGGTGGTCCGTGTTAATCCCACTCAATGAGAGTAAAGACCATTACCCCAATTTTTTGGTTGAATAGGCAAGCTTTATTTCCTGCCAGACATGGCTACTCTCTAAAAGCAGGGTTTGAGAGAATAGCCCTAAACACAGGAAACATGGTTTATTTATAGCCCCCAACATTGCCAGGCTAGGGGGTTTCCAAAGGTTTTTTGGTTACATAGGAATTTGGCTGACTGAACCATCTTATCAGGGTGGTGAATGAAAAAAAAAAAAAAAGGAAAGGAACATGACTGATCCTAGGTGTGGAGGAGGAGAAGGTTTATTATAGATAAAAGGAAGAACTTAGCCAGAGGCAGGGACATCTGGAAGAGTCCAGAGTGGACATGACCCTGAACCATACAAGGAGAAGGGGAAGGGGGAGAGGGGAACCAGGTGTAGCAGCCACGAGGCTCAAAGAGAGCCGATGAAAAGGCCAGGTAACCAAAAGGTTTGGATTATATGGGGAGAGCAGCTGGGGGAAGGGCAGCCCAGCCCTTGGGCTGGAGAAGTTTAGGGTAGGGGGCAGGGTATGCTAGCTGGGAGGCCTCTGTAGCAGGTAGGGACAGAAGAACGCAGGGAGAACCTGGTGGCCAGCATTCACTTTGATATGTTAACCAGGCACCTCAGCTGTGTGTCCCAAGTTTGAGACCCAGCAGTTGGAGGTCAGGCTATATAGGGTGTGGAGCATGTCAACATCAAAGTGGAGATTTGCAACAGAGGACAGGGAGACTGAAAATTTTTGATCAGACATGTAGACCAGAGTCACGATATAAGTGGGGTTTAAAACCACAAGTTTAGGGGGCTGGAGAGATGGCTCAGCAGTTAAAAGCACTCCCTGCTCTCCCAGAGTGTCCAGGTTCAATTCCCATCACCCATAGGGGATCTGACACCCTCACACAAACATACATGCAGGCAAAACACCAGTGCACATAAACAATAAAGCCACAAGCTTAGGTTGGAGACTTCACAGACTTTCGGACGAGCCTGGCAAGGAGAACCAACTCTTACATCTTGTTCTATGAATTCCACACATGTGCCATGGCACATAGTTGACCACACACATACTTTAAAAGGAAACTCAGGCGTTTGTACTTTGCGTACGCTTTAGGGTTAATCTCTAGTCCTCATCATCCTCGGGCAAAAACAAACCAGACCAAGGATCTGGCCCCAAGGAACGATCTAGCAGAGGAGAGGGCACTGCACCTGAGGGCTTCATCACCTGCCATGGAGGACGTGGGGGCTGGAGAGCAAAGAAAAGGAGGTGAGTAGACCGTGAGATAGCCACGCCTTTGTGGGCGCTGGTCCAGGAGCTAGGGAAAAAGGCTTTAGAACCAAGGCTGGGCAGGTCTGAGCAGATCTGGCCACTATAGCATGGGCTGGGCAAGTAACCAGGTAGTGCGTAGAGAAGCCTCTGAGAAGTCGCACGCAGTTTGGCGGGAGACAAGAAAAACGGATTCTACTCAGAGTCAGCAAGCCACAGCCTCGCACGGTGGCCATGCCCGGCAGGCACTCTGGGTACCTGGAAACCACAATTCCCAGAATGCCTCAGCCCAACTTCCGGGACCGGTGAGTCGAACTCCGGAAGTAGTCGAGAACGCGGAGGCGCCAGAGTCTGATCGTCTTCAGGGTTCGCCTTGATTTCGTCGCCGCCATGGGGAAGCGACAGCACCAGAAGGACAAGATGTAAGTTGGGTAGCATTTCTCACCTCATCACCTTCCTGAAGGTCATCTCCTCCCGGAAGCCTCAGTTCTTGCAGGCCCGATATCGTCCCTCAGCGCGGCCTCCGCGGCCAGGGCGTTTTGCTGGCCGGACTGATTCACATCTGGGGCTTACCCTGACCGCCCCTTTCTCTGCCCCTGCGTAGGTTGTCTGCCCTGCTCAGCCAGGCCCTGGCTCTCACCTGCCAGCCCACATACAAGCGACAGTTTAAGACTAGCGGGCTGTGTTCCGTGTTCCTCTCGTTTGCCACTGTCTGTCTGCATGCTGTTTTCTGTGTCTCTTGAAACTAGTGTAATCAGATGTTCTCCCCCCAAACTGCTTGCAAGGACTCCTTTGACTTCTGTATTGCTAAATCTAGTGCGCAGCTCTCAGTCTTTGGGCTCCTTCCGTTTCCGAAACTGACCTTAGTGGGATCTTAGAAGCGGCTTTGCTTGTAAGATCCATGACCATGACCTCTCTTTTTCTCATTCCTCTTTGCTGGGCTCTCTTCCCTTGCCCCAGACTTCATGGGTATCCCTTCATTTGTGTTCTCCGTGGTGATCTGTTCTAGAAGTCTATGTCTTGCACTAAGTCAGCTGTTTACCCAGTAGCTTTCTCAGAATCAGTATGCCTGAAAGGGAACTCTTGATAATTTTCACACCTTAAGCCTGCTCTATGTCCATTTATTCCAGTGGTTACATAGTAAGTTCTTATTTGCTATACATAGAGTGAAGACGGTTTTCAGCCTTACACACCAGCACATGCAAACAGAGCTATGTTAGGTCATGTCTGGGTCCTGCTCAAAGCGGTTCAATGACTTCCCATCACATCTAAGGCAACAAGTAGTACTTCCTGTGATCCTCGGACTCCTTTATGATCAGCCACTGCTCTTGCTTCTGTCTCCTCCTCACACGTTTCTCTAGTGTCTCCTTCCTGGCGCACATTCAGCTTTTCCTGCTCCAGACTCAGTAAGTGCTGTCCTGTAAAGGGCATCCCCAGATGTTTGTAAGCCTGGCTCCCTCTCATGGCCAGATTATCCAGGCAAGGCCACTGATGTCTATCTTTCTGTGTGTTGTCCGTATCATTATGTCTAATGCTGCAGATGTTCGGTGTGCACTTGTCAAGTGAGTGGCAGTTCTGTCATGTGACGTCTACGGCTTCTGTCCCTTCTGTGAGGGCAACTAGTGATATCCTCTGTCTTCCTTAGGTACATCACCTGCGCTGAATACACTCACTTCTACGGTGGCAGGAAGCCAGGTAAGGGTGTTGGTGGTACTGAGGAGCGTATATAGTGGTCCAGAATGCTGACATTACAGTGTATATTACTGGGCTGAGTGCAGAGTCCACAAAAGAGGATGCATACTCGACATAATAGAGTGTACCAGTGGAGAGTTTTTAAAATATAATGTAAAATGGCTTTTTCTTTAGGAAGTGCGATAAACTTTTTCCTCCTATAAAGGAGGAAAACATGAATGGTAATATCCAAGGTTCCTAAGGCTATAGAAAAAAGGATGTAGTTGTATTTTTTTCACTTACTTATTTTATTTGCATTGGTGTTTTGACTGCATGTATGCCTCTGTGAGGGTGCCAGATCCTGTGAGACTGGAGTTGGTTGTGAGTTGCCATGTGAATTCTGGGAATTGAATCTGGGTCCTCTGGAAGAACAGCCAGTGCTCTTAACCACTGAGCCGACTCTCCAGTGCATGGATGCACATATGTA